TAGGTTTTGGTAGGTTAAGGTAAACCCTAAATCCCACCTGGTTGTTGCAATGTAAGTCCCAGAGGCTCCTTTTAGCAAAGGAATCTCACACCCCGGGCCCCGAACAGCAATGGGTTTAGGGTTGAGGGTTATTGAGAACCGGGGCGCCTAACAAAAACAGACTACGTGGACCCTGTAGAACCTACGTTCGTATCCTGATTTAGTTAGTTATAGTTAAGTCCTTGATGAGGTAGGGAAGTTGGGGTTCAGGAAAAGCTTCATGGTCTATATCTATGTCTTGGGGGCGGGGCGTTCACATTCAGTTTTTCTTCGCAAAGCAGTCGTCCAGATATGATTGTTTTGCAGGGTTGCACAGGATCACCCGAAGCCCAATGCCTACGGTCACGAGCCTGCAGACACAATGCAACAACGTGCATGTAGTTGCTGAGATTGGTTTGGGCCCAACTCCCCACCTGCCGAAGTTCATAATATCATTCGGCAGTGTGTGCAACCGGTCCGTCCTTTGACAAGACGGTACGGGATACACCCCCGCTCACACGAAAAGTGGTGCCGCTCCAGCCCGACTTCCAGCCAGGGACTGATTCTCAATCTTTTCCTAAGCCCTCTAAAGCTCTACCTATAGTCTCCATTGTAGTTCCTTTTTTTGGTTAGCCAAAATCTCTATTATAGGGCCCGAACCATAAGAATGGTTAACCAAAACGGAACTAAAGCCCTGAAGCCCCAACTACAACCCGAAACCCCGGAGCCTATTGGGAGCCAGAATGACTCGCCGTTGAAGACCCCTCTGAGATATTTGCCTGCAGCACGCCAAGCGTGTGCCTTATGCAGAACTTGACGGGATGCAAGACTGCTCGCGGGTGCCTCCACAAGCACCACTGACTTGTGCTAGGGTGCTCCAAGTGCTCTTCCTAGCAAGTCTCATGTTTGTTTAGAGTGAACATGCTTTGTAGAGGCTAGACTTCACCCTCAAGGCAAGAAGAAAGCCGACGGTTGAAGAGAAGGGGCCGCTTCCTCCCTTGCCCTTCCCCCCTTCGCCTCCACCCTCTTCGTCATTGCATGCAGGTTCTAGCTGCCGATAGGGATTTGAAACCCTAAAGTTCCAAGGATAAGATGTTGTGCTGGGGAAAAGGATGCTTTAAAAAGCTTACAGTAGAAGCCAAAAAGTTGGAAACCCAATAGCCTCAACCCTGAAGAGTAATGTATAAGGGGCCCCAGCACTATTTGGCCTTAATCCGGTTTCCAACTTTTTGGGGTTTACTGTAGAAGGATGTGAGTTGTCGTTGCTTTTATGCTATCACGGCGTAGGGTGTGCGCAGACTCTAAAGAGATGGATGTCGACTCCCGCAGACCTTAGGCTTCAGAGATTTCCGCTCTCCAAAGTCAGCTGCTCGTAGTTTGAGTGGCTGTAGTTAATGTCTACTACGCCCTCTTAAAGTTTCATGGCCTTCAGTCGGCAAGCATCCTCGACCCTACCATTCCAAAACGCAGGGGCCTGAATTTGTTGGCGTTTTAAAGATTCCACTGACCATTTAAGGACTTGAAGCATGTCAGGAGATGTTCAGACCCCCTCCACACTACGCCCATTGAGCCCTACAGTAGAAGCCAGAAAGTTGGAATATCATTATCGTAACCCCTTTAAGGTAATTTATAGGGGATCCTACCATGAATCCATATTCCAACTTTCTGGAGTTCCCTTTAAACCCTAAACCCTAAACCCTAAATCCCTAAACCCTAAACCCCTAAACCCTCAACCCCTAAACCCCTAGTTCCCTTTACAAGGGGCAGCAGCGAAGCCCAAGAGTCAAGCTTGAGTTCTTTTGTGGAGGCATCCGCACGTTCCCTAACACCGAAGCTCATCAGCGACCTTTCCGGAACACAAGAAAACGTGCCTAGACCCTGAAACCCCTGAACCCTAAACCCTCCTTTGGGTTTTCGGGTTTAGGGCTTAGGGTTGCCCTTCGACCAGGCCTGACGCTTCGAGTGCCTGAGAGAGAGAGAGAGAGAGAGAGAGAGAGAGAGAGAGAGAGAGAGAGGGCTTAGGGGTTTAAGGGGAAAAAACCCCCCTCTGAGTCCCCCCCCCCCCCCATGGCCCTGCAATCCCTACGTCCTAACTAGGTGCGCACAACATACCCCCCCTGGGTCTTAAACCTCTGCAAGAGCCGTAAGCCTTCGATCCTGAGCCAGACGTAAAATGAGCGCTTACTTAGTAGCTGAGTGGATACACTTTACACTTTTTGGGATAATATTACCCACTATAAAAATAAAAGTGTGCACTTTTTGGGGCTTATGAAGCTTCTGAACTCAGCAACTAGGCTTAAAAACACCCTAAGCTAGTGCCTTTCGTCATCCTTGTTAGGGGGGGTGCCCGCCTGTCTACGGGCGGTTTAGGGGTTAAATTAGGAATCAGGGAGTTTAGGTAGAGTTTAGGACCCTGGATAAGTCTAGACCTAATCTGGGATCCTAGATGGAATGAAGTAGAGCTGGTCCAAACCCTGGGTCTTTGAGGGTTCCTTACAGTTCTATACGGAAGGATAAACTTACAAAGCCCAATACAGATTCTCCATGGATTTACGTAAAAGTTGTACCAGGAGGCCCCGCGTGTATCGATAACCTATTACATGAAAGAATCGCATGTGGTTGGTTGGAGTCGTTTCTGGGCTGGCCCTTAATAATTAGGGTTTAGGGTTACGTCATTATAGGGATTCGGTTTTAATCGTGAATAAGAAATCGCCAAAGACGGCGCAGACCAGGCATTCATGCGCGAGCTCCAAATTCTCAGACCCCTCTACCCATAGGCCCCATAGTACCCATAGTAGTTCCTTTTTGGGATTACTTTACAGGATTTTATATATGCACCCCAAAAAGGAACTGCTATGAGGCCTCTGGGTAATCAAGACTTGACCCGCATTCCGAAAATCCGTTGCAGTAGCATCCACAAGTTTCCAGTCGAAGTCGTCGCAAGATGAGCGCATCTCATGGGATACAATGTCGTAGACCCATGAAAGGGGATCACCACGGTTGTTTTTGGTTTAGGCCTTTGGCACACATAGTGCTAGAAAACTAGAAAATCAGCCCACCCCATCACCAGCAAACGAGACGTACAGTAATCGCTAGAGACATTTTCAACTATCTTTCGTGGCCGAGACACACAGCTTCCTGCCAATGACAGATTGGCAGACTGTATGCACGTGTGTACATTCTAGGTGAGTATGTCTACGGAGGTATGTTACATACATTACATACATACACATATGGTCATAGTTTTTGTGTGGATGTATGTACATATGTATGTATGCATGCAGGGTTTCATACAATTGTAAGATGACGGGTAGGATTTAGGGAACACCCCGAAGCCGAGCATTTTTTGTGCTCGAGACTACGGCCTACCATTGGCAGTAAAGGGAGGTGTTTTTGTTGCCAGGGGCCGAGGTGTATTGCTTAAAGAAGTTACAAGGCAAAGGCGGCATGCCCGCCCACATTCCCCTAAGTCCTGAGCCTCAGACACCCTATAAACCCTAAGCTCTAAACCTGGCACCCTGCACCCTCGCACTCTGGAGCTTCCAGCCCTCTGTGCTACAGCCTAGCTAGTGTTGAGTAGAAGTGCAGATGTTAAAGTTTCGCGTGGGATCCCCAACGAAGCACCTCACCACATGGCCAGAATCCGCATCTCGCAAAACTTTCTCGCAGAAAATCGCGAGGAGCACTGCCAGGTTGAGTTCCAACCATGTGTGTGGTTGTCAAAATTAGGGTCCCTTTTTGGGGTCCCATAAATATTAATATTCGGTACCCAAAAAGGGACCATGATTTTGACAACCACCCATGTGTGTGTGTGTGTGTTTATGTGTTGGTAGAGTGGTGAATGGCAGGACTGAGGTTGTGTGCATGTTAATGTTGCCCGTGCACTCGCGAAGGTCTTACGTGCACACACAAGCACATACAAGTATGTTCCTGAGTTATCAAGCGTATACATACATATATCTATATATGTATATATATATATACATTTATATATACATACAGCAATTAATATAAATGATTATATATATATATATATACATACATATATATATATATATACATGCATAATGCGCAAAACACAGGTAGTATATGTACGCAAACATGTACAAATGTATATACTCATGTATATCAACAACATATACTGCATGCTGTTGAAATTGCTATGACGGCTACAACCAATGGTTGAGGCTGAAGGCGCTCAGAATGTTATGTCCCATGTCACATGCCTAGTTGCACGGATCGAGTCGAACAACCGAGACCCAGGATGACCTGCCCCAGTTGAATCGCGGGAGTCCGAGAGAATAGGGGCCCCAGCTGTAGAACCCTACTAAAACAACAAGATCTTGAGCCTAAGGACCCCTAGCCGTCGCTTGGCTTGTAGCTTCAGTGACACGCATCCCCTCAGCAGCTGGCTCTTGTGAGCTAAGCTGTTGCACGAAGCACCTGAGACCCACCTCATATCAGAGACCCGGACAGGGTAATCACATCGGAAACAGCTGACAGCAGTGCCCACATTGCCAGAAGATTTCCGTTCAGCGGTCCTACGTTCTTCGAGTCTCTGATCGACTTAGACATAGGATTTGTTCCTGTTCCAAAGCCTTCTTGAGCCCTATACCTGTCCATCTGTCTGACTCTCTCTGTCTGTCTCTCTCTCTCTCTCTCTCTCTCTATCTATCTATCTGTATACATATATATATATATATACACATGCGTGTTTAGTCTTATTGATATTGCGCTTTTCTTTTGCCTTTATTTATGAGTAATACTACTATGATTATAATTATCATTGTAATGTGTAATGATGCGATGTCTGTAAGCGATTTCAGTTTTTTCTTTTGCCAAAAAATGACAACGTATCTCGCCTCCAGCAAGTGGTGATAGAATGTGGTCACGGTTACCCCGAGCCTCCTCCGAGGCTGAACAGGGCCTGGTGCAGTCCTTTGCACCCTGATCTCGGCCATTCTTCCTTGCGCCTCCGACAGGTATTGCAAGGCCGTCACGTACGATTCGGAGATGGCTGGGTCTGTGGAGGCAACTCCAAGCAGCTTCATGGCGCCAGGTCCTTAGCCGCTGGGAACGAATGTCAGGAAATCTACAAGGCCGAGGCCTGAGTAATTTGTAATAAGGTCCCCTTATAGTCCTTGTGAAAGCTATACGATACTACGATATCCCCTGGTTTTTTCCCATGGGAGAAATAGGCTGAAGCGAAGGATGCAGTCTTGCGAGGAAGAAGGAGTGTAGCTTCTCTCGCGACGTCATCAGATGCAACTTCCACAAGCAGCAGCAGTGGCACTAGCAGCAGTAGCAGTAGCAGCAGTGGCAGCAGTAGTAGCACTGGTAGTGTGGTAGCAGCAGGAGTAGGACTAGGACTCGGACTGGAGCAGGACTAGGAAAAGTAGCAGGTGTAAGTGTAGGAGTAGGAGTAGGATCAGGTGGTAGTCGTGGTAGTTGTTGTTGTTGCTGCTGCAAATGTGATTGTTGTTGCAGTTGCAGTAATAGGAACTATTATGCAGAAGTAGTAGTAGTAGTAGTAGTAGTAGTTGTTGTTGTAGTCGTGGTAGTAGTAGTAGTAGTAGTAGTAGTAGTAGTAGTAGTAGTAGTAGTAGTAGTAGTAGTAGTAGTGGTACGGTAGTAGTGCTAGTAGTGGTAGTAGTAGTAGTCGTCGTCGTCGTCGTAGCGGTAGTGGTAGTGGTAGTGGTCGTGGTAGTGGTAGTGGTAGTGGTAGTGGCAGTGGCAGTGGCAGTGGCAGTGGCAGTGGCAGTGGCAGTGGCAGTGGCAGTGGTGGTAGTAGTAGTAGTAGTAGTAGTAGTAGTAGTAGTAGTGGTCGTGGTCGTGTTCGTGGTGGTGGTAGTGGTAGTGGTGGTGGTAGTGGTAGTGGTAGTGGTAGTGGTAGTGGTAGTGGCGGTAGTGGCAGTGGCAGTGGCAGTGGTAGTGGTTGTGGTAGTGGTGGTGGTAGTGGTTGTAGTAGTAGGAGTAGGAGTAGGAGTAGCAGGAGTAGCAGCAGTAGTAGTAGGAGTAGCAGCAGCAGCAGCGGCAGTAGTAGTAGTAGTAGTAGTAGTAGTAGTAGTAGTAGTAGTAGTAGTAGAGTAGTACAGTAGTCGTAAAAACAGTGGTGCACAATAACTGAGATCTCGCTCGACACGACTGAGGTCACCGCAAGAGCAGGGAGAGATAGAGAGAGAGAGACAAACAAAGAGACATGAAGGGCAGCAGCTTCTGCTTCGACGTATAGGTAGGTAGTTGTTGTTCGACGGGCCATCTAAGTCTACAGCTCGAACAGCTTGCAGGTACCGCTCGACCTGCATGATTCCATTTCGTGATGTTTGCGTTTGCTTCCTAAGCCTTCCGCCTACAAAAGCCTGGACGATATAAACCAAGAAATCAAACCCGCATTAATAACCATAAAGCCCTACATACTACAAGTAATTTCATAATACAATGCTGGAAAAGATGACAGCCCTTGCAGACGGTATAAAAAACCTGTGCCCTTCATTCTCCAGAGGCTCGGAAAGGTAGCGTTGGCGGCGCAGACCGCTGCAAAGGCTCCCTGGTGCGTTGACATGGGAGTTTCCGAAAATCAGGGGTCCCTTAATTTCTTGTCCTTATAATAAGGATCCTACTATTCAGGGTATTTGATGAAGGTCCCCTAGTTTGGGAAACTCTCATTTGGAGGTTGAGGGTGGCCTGCTGCAAGAATATATAAGGTGTTTAGTGCTCATCATTGAGGCGTATCGGGTTTGGCGTGTTGTTCTCACCCACGCGCAAGGGTGAAAAGCTGCCGAGGAAAGAAGGTAGGTACCGGTATGTTTCCCAACTCATTAGCAGCCACCAGCCCTTTGTCGCAACTCCTAAACCCTCCCAATCCAAAACCTTAGCCGTTAACCCCTAAATCCTAAACCCTATCATCCCGACAAGCCCACCCAACTCCCCAAAATCTCTAAGCTGCGTCGATCTCTACTCTGTTTCGGACGGGTGGGCAGAGCCAGTGTGGAAAAAATGTAAACCGGACCGGTAACATGAGGGCCTCAGTAATTACCTATACTATTTTTTGGGGGGGTTCCTAGTATAATTCTAACATAATGGGCTTTGAACCCGATTCTAATTATTAAGGCCCCTATATTAATGAGGAGTGGACTTTGGAGGTCTGGGTTTACTGTTTCGGGGTTTAGGGTTTAGAGTTATAGGGGAGTTTCCCGAAAGTTAGGGGTGCCTTATTTTGGGGCTCTTATAATGAGACCAAGACTCAATCCCGCTGCAGGAGCTTTTGACCAAGGACACAGTTGCTGTCACTGAGAAAGCCCCAACTGCAAGCCGGATTCCTTACATCCGGCGGTAATCCCCAGGACCAAGCCATCGCTCCTGTAATAAACCCGACATGTCCCTAAACCCCAAGTCGCTACACCAAAAGCCTAAGACCCAAAACCGAAAGATTGAAGCTCCAAACCCGACCTCCCCCCTTCAACAAAAGCCCACCTAGAGGCCCCATCGTAGTTCCTTTTTTGGGGTTCATAATATATAGAATCCTGAAAGGTAATCCCAAAAAGGAACTACTATGGGGCCTATGGGTACGCCCCCCTAAACCCTAAACCCCTGAAACTCCTAAATTTCAAGGAAGCGGGCCTCGGCGACGTGGCGCCAGCCGAGGACCCCCCAAAGGGGGGGGTGGAGCAGGGTTGAGTTCCTCCAAAACCCTGGTAAACAGGAATATTCCTTAAGCCTTAAACTTCCGTACGAACGGCAATAACCCTAAATCCTAAACCCGAGTTGGAAGTAATTCCCTATTCAAGGGGTAAGCTCCGGATCGGTTTAGGATTCCTTTATGGGTTGTTTAGAGGGTTCTGTTCTAGGTTTTGTAGACTTTACCTGGTTCTGTGAAGGGGTTCAGGGTTACCTTTAGGGTTTGGTGTTCGTCCAGGGGTTGGGCTGTTCGGCTGACCGGGTCTCGTTTCTAGCAAGCAGGGGCTTGAGGTTTTGTTGGGCCTGAGGTATGTGAGCGTCGGGTGCAACAAAGTGTATGTCGCTGCATGAGATTCCCGAATAAACCCAGTTCTATCCGTAGTTAGGGGTGGCCTGAAAAGAATAAATGTTGTTACCTCGGGCTCCGTACCATGAATAAGGCAGAATCTGCCGTAACACCGAGCCTGATTATTATAGGCCGTAAGGTCCCCATGTTAAGGCAGTACAATCTGTGTTGTTCCATCCAGAATCATGGAAAGCGAAGCTGATTCTGCTGGTCTCAGGACACGAAACTGCGAGGGCATCATTACCTGGGCCCCTATACAAGCCCCATAAGGTATAAGCCAGAAAATTGGAATATGATTATCCTAACCCTTCTATGGTAAATTATAGGGTATCCTACCATGAAACCATATTCCAACTTTCTGGAGTTACCTGTAGCCCAGTTTGTCAACTCACTCTGGAACCAGTGGCAGTGGCGGTGTTGGAGAAGCTGGGGCCGGGGAGGTAGTGATGGTGGGACACGAGTCTTATGATACACTGGGCGCCCACGCGCCGCCCCGACCCGAGTAATACTTTGGCAGCAATTAGCACGTGTCGTCGTGATGGTTGTCGTCGTGGTGGTGGTGCCTGAAATAGCAGAAGCAGAAGTCGCAGCAGCCTGTAGCACCGTGGTCGTCACACATCTATTCAAGCCGCTAGTCATGAAAGCAATACTCGTAGCATGAAACTATTGTAGTAACATTATCATGCTACGAGTACATTATACTTATCATTGTTCTTGTTATTATTATTATTATTATCATTGTAACTACGGTTTTGGGTATCGTCCTGGTCGTCGTAGCAATCGCTGTGAGCATTGGCAGTCTGTCGCAAGCGATGGTGAGCAGGGGGCCCAGGTGGAGCAGCAGTGGCAGAGATAGAGATATGGGAGTTTCCGAAAATTGGGGGGTACCTTATTTTGGGGACCTATAATAAGGATCCTACGTTTTAGGGTACTATATTAGGAACCCCTATTTTCGGAAACTCCCATATCGGTCCCTAAGTGTCCATGCACCCAAATAGTATATACTTTGACCTTAAAGTACTCCCTTTTTCCCGTACATTGGGCCCAAAGTATATACTATTTGGGTACATGGACCCTTAGGGGGTAGGAGTAGCTTCCTTTTTAGCTACCAAGAAGCCCCAATAGTTCGAAGCCCCACGTTTGCTTCAGGACTGCCAATACTGAGGATGGCATCAGCAAAGGACTGCAGGCATAGATGGCGAGCATCGGACATCCTCAGGCCCTGATCCTTTGAGCCTCAAAGTCGCGAAAGCGCTGTGGCATGAAAGTGTCAAAGCCACAAGCTCCACACCGAAAGTGCTAAGTGCGGCACCACAACACCTTATCAAAAGCCGAGCCGGAGGTTCGTCGCAATATAAGTAGTTGAGTAGTCAATGAGAATAGAGCTTAGGGTAGTGCTATACTGTATTTATGTAGGGACTTGGAGAGAAACGTATTGATACCCTTGCTGCATAACCCAGAACAGTCGGATCCGCATTCTACGGATCCAGAAGACCGAACCCCAAACATATGACATCCCCTAAGCCCTAAACAAAAGCCATTCATCCCAGCGCAGCTGGCACGTCTGCACTGCTCAATGGCGCTGACCCCGTGCGGCCTGCGAAAAAGAATGGCCGCCGAAGTGGCCTATTTTTTGTTCACTGTTTGGTGCTTTGGGGCTTATATATCCATATATATTCAATATATATATATATATAGATAGATAGATAGATAAATATAGATACACATATAGAAACATGTATACATACACATACATATGTATATATGTATATATATATATATATATATATATATATATATACATACACATATATATATATATATACACATACATATATATATATATATATGTCTATATATATATATATATATTATATTATATCTCACAATTTGGAGCAGCATTCCCGAAGAGCATTCTGCCGGAAGGGTTCCGAAGGCCGTGGTGCGAAGAGATCGGGGGACTGCAGCGAAAATAGCGCAAAACAGAAGGCCGTGACTACCTTCCAAAATCCTACCTATAGTCTCCATTGTAGTTCCTTTTGGGGGTTATCTTATAGAATCCATACTATATAACTGGTTAAAGCAAAAAGGAACTACAATGGAGACTATGCGTAAACTCTGGACTTCAGCCCGGGCAAGCGACTTAGCATGTAATCATGTCAAGCTATACAGTAGAAGCCGGAAAGTTGGAATATGATTATCCTAACCCTTCTATGGTAAATTATAGGGGAATCCTACCATTAATCCATATTCCAACTTTCTGGAGTTCCCTTTATAGTAAGATGGGAGGGGCCTCACGGGCGCAAGTGAGTTTAGGCATTAGTCAGCTGGGTTTGAGGGCTTGCCCCCTTCAGCTCTCCGATGAAACAGAGAACGGTAGCAGCGGGGGTAGCCGAGTTTGGTATGTAATGCTGGCTTGCTTTCTTGGCATGGAGCGGGGGTATAGTTGAAAAGCCGTGATGTTGCTCTCATCATCTGGCAACAGAACATGAATCAAAGCACTGGCAACACGGGCAATCATTATGAGCAGGGTAGGTTGTCGCCAGTTCGCTAGCTGCTTGCCAACTTTGGGCACTTTGAATGAAATACGATGCCGGACAGGTTAGATCGTTGAAGTGTTGGGCTGGCGATTGGCTCCATCAGTTGAGCATGTTAGACCTTCCCTCAAGCAACCACCCTTCGAAGGAACAGGATATGAACCTTTTTGCGACGATTGCGAGACAGATGTCAGCTTCTGCACTCATGCTTTCAGACTGCTTGCAAATGGTGACACGTGGTAGTGTGGATGGTGGATGCCAGGTAAAGAACCCCGCATCTCGATACTGAAATCCAATCTGAAGAGCATCTCCCGAAATGCTCCCTCTGGCTATTCCAACTCCTTCCCTTCCGGCGTTTTGGTGACGATTGCCTTTCCTGCTGATCTCTTCCCTCAACCATGGCTGTCTCTCGCCATGCGGCTGCTGGCCGGAGTGCAAAGGCTCCTTCGCCTTTGAACCAAGCAGGGCACACGGAGGATCAAGGGGTGCAATGCAGGGCTCCGAACTATAAGCAATGCTGCTCCGCAGGCTGCAGGGTTCCATAGTAGAGCAAGCACCAAATCCTATGCTTATGATGAAGGCCCCTTGAATGGCATTTTGAGTTTAGAGGCGCGGGGTTAATTTCATTTAGCACGTTTAAGTTTGCATGTGTGCTTCGGAAGGTCCTACAAGTGTCGTCGTAAGCTGGCCAAGAGACCACGGACCAGTTTCTGGCTTGGTGATTTTTTGTTCCTAAGCCCGCTGTCCTGAGATCTCGACCACAGACTGCCTCTTGTGTTCCCAGATGCAGCCTTTGACTTTGCAAGGTCAAACCCTAGAACTCCTTCGGACAGCTGACGTGCTTGTAGATGATAAGAGCGCCGCCTAAGTCAGTACTTCCCCGGCACTCCCTCCCGTGTCTTTGGGAGGGCTTCGGGTTTATGTTCCACGACTTTCTGGCGGCCGTTAGAAAGTAAGTTCGACTCACATAACTTTATCTCTTGGCAACATGCCGGTAACAGCACCACTTGTCGAAGGTACATAAGGGTGAGAGCTTATCGTTAGGAGCTGGTGGCCAACAGGTGTCAAGCAAGGTTTGGGGCAGTTAGCACTCTGATGGGCTTGAGCCCCTGGACTCCTGAATCATGCGAGAGCATCCGCAAGACCAAACCCCTAAACCCTAAATCCCAACCCTAAACCCGGAACCTGGAATGAAGTGATACGAAGCCCGGAGCCCCTCAAGCAGTCCTTAAACACTTTAGCCTTTCTTTCTGCTTGTGTGAAAATGTAGATGTGATTGTCCCGGAGCGAAATTGGGAATACCCACTGGTGACTTGTACCATAAACCGCAACACTTCAGTTTACGTTCTTCGCCCTGGACTCTCTCTACACTAAATCCTAAGTCCTGTCAACCCGAAATTCTAACGATTCCGAAAACCCAGGTTCCTCGCAGCGTAAGGCGATTCAGATTAGGTTTTAGGGTTTCGGTTCGCTTGCGGTCTGAGTTAAGATTTAGGGGTTTAGGGGTGTAGGGTGTGATGTTTTTGCAGACTTGGGCATATTTGGGCCACGGTCGTAGGTAGTGTTACCGGGCTACTCTACCAACGTAGAAGAGGGAGCAGTTATTCGTGTTGCAGGTCATGAAGAAGCACAAGAAGCTGTCCAGGCTTGTCGAATGTGCTCACCAGTCGAAACTTGAGACGCAAATTGAATTCCCAAACCCAAATCAGCCCCAACACCCGAGCTTGTGGTGATCCGAGCCGCTGGTTCATTCCATGGCCACAATGGAAGGAAGCGGGTCATCTGCTGAGTAGCTGCATGGTGAAAAGCGACACAGGGGCGTGGTCTTTAGAGATGCAGAAGCATTGATGTTTCATGTCCCTGAAAGCGGCAGATTCGACCCCATATACCCTAACACTCTGCTGCCATCCAGGACATAGTGCATGTTCCATTCCTATAGTCTCCATTCTAGTTCCTTTTTTTGATTAACCAAAATCTCTATGATAGGCCCTAACCATAAAAATGGTTCACCCCAAAAAAAGGAACTACAATGGAGACTATAGGTTCGATCGAATGCATGGAAGGTCAACCAGGTCCACTGCCGGCTTCTCTCACGGGATCAAGGCACCTTGTTCTATGATGTTCTAAGGTAGAAGCCAGAAAGTTGGAATATGATTCTCCTAACCCTTCTATGGTAAATTATAGGGTATCCTAGCATGAAACCTCCAACTTTCTGGAGTTTCCTATATATGTGGTTAATGAGAAAGACAGGCCGGGGGGCGGGGAGCCGCGGGTAGGCGAGGGCGCGGCGGCTGCAAGTGCAGCAGCTGCTGCTGGCTGCCAGTGCTTCTTGTTGTTGATCTATTCCTGCTGTTGTTGTTACTGTTACTGCTGCCGTCACTGTTATCATTATTTGTATGTGGCATCGCCATTACATGTCCAATGGTTCCATTGTCTATTGTTTCTATGACTGCTATAACAATCTTACTAGTATTGCAATTGCTGATATCATCGTTTCTTTCGTGTGCTCCTAATGCTTGCTTTGTCACAGCTGTAGGTCTTGCCTTTCAGGCCTGCGTGCTTTGAGGTTGTAATGAACACAAGAGGAGCGAAGCCTGATACTGTCCTAATTTCCCAAAGAACCCTTTATCTATGTATCTATCTACATATTTATCTACCCTGGTTTCATGTGTATATATATACACATAAATTATATATATATATATATATATATAACACATAGGAACATATATACACACAAGCTGTACATGTATGTACCTTCCGAGTAAGCAAGGCGAAGTACCCCCGAAGCCCAGCGCGAGGTTAAAGCTGGCAAGCAAGCGGCTGCCCGACCAAAGAAACAGCCGAGAACCCAGTTCTACGGTTTAGGGGTTTAGGGTTTAGGGTAGCGCGCATCGGCCTCGGTTCAAAAAAGGGTTTAGGGATTTAGGGTTTAGGGGTTTGGGGTTTAGGGGTTCAGGGTTTAGGGTTTAGGGTTTGATCGTGGTTGACAAAATTCTGGTCCTTTTTTGGGCCCCGATTATAGTATACTGATATTTGGGGTACCCCAAAAGGGACCATGATTTTGACAACCACCCACCTATTTATAGTTTCCATTGTGGTTCTTTAACAAAAATTTTTGGCGGTTACCTCATAGGATCCTTAGTATAAGCGGTTAAGCCAGAAAAAGGAGCTACAATGAAGTTCTACCTCCGGTCTCCATTGTGGTTCCTTTCCGGGTTTACCTTATAGGATCCTTAATATGTAATGTATCATTGGTTAAACCAGAAAAAGGAACTACAATGGAGACTATAGGTATTCTGCCATGTCCCTTTCTGTGCAGGCGGCATTTTATTCGGGATCCTGGTATGGAGACTTCAAAACAGAGAGACCTACTAATACTGACACGCGAAGGTTTGAGTCCATCAAAGCTGCAAGAGCAGAAGCTAAGCCTTAACCATAAACCAAAAGAGCTGCGAGGTTTCGGCAAATTTCAGCCACAGACCCTAGACACGTATGTCATCACAGTGCTGGTGCTTTCAGTACTGTTGTTGCCATTGCAGCGGGAGTGCTGACGGTGTGGCCGCCATCACCGTGATAGGTGCTATGCCCAAAACCGAAAACCTTCTCGCAAGGTAGGAAGGAAAAAAATCCCTGAACCAACCAGCCAACCTAAACCCCAAAACCCAAAACCCTACACCCCTAAACCCCAAACCCTAAACCCTAAATCCCAAACCCAGCACCCTAAACCCTACAGGCCCTACATTGCTGCGCCGCAAAAGCTAGGAAGTTGGAGCACTCTTCTGAAGCACAGTAAATTGAACCACTGGGTGAGTGGAGCCACAGGCAAGCTGCAATCCCGTAACCTTGATCTCCGGAAGTGCCGTTCGTAAACTGCGGCGGGTTTAGGGTGTAGAGTTTAGGGTTTAGGGCTTTCGAACTCGAATTCAGGTCCCCAGAAAAGCCACTACACAGCCGTATCAATACGCTTGTAGACCGCTGCAAAACTGTATTTAAACCTGATCTAGCCTACCTATAGAGTCTCCATTGTAGTTCCTTTGCGGGTTTAACCAAGCCTATCATCTGGTTAGGCTCCTACAAACTAAGCAACCAGGAGCCACAATGGTCTGAATGTAGATTCTTCTCACCCTAAACCCTAATCGGCGGGACACGCTTTCGAACTCGTTGAAAGAAATTCGTGGAAAAAACAGTTTATAGGATCATAGAAATATCCAGAAATTAGCCCAACAAGAATTACAAGGGAGACTTTCGTCGGAGGTCCGCGGGCTCTTCGCCTTTCCCGGGCTTCCAGAGGCCAACCGCTGCCGAGGCCACCGGGGAATGTCAGGTGGGGTTTACAAATGCTCAATAGCCATTTATCAGGTTTTGTAAGGCTTTAAGTCAACATGTTGAAGGTTTAGGGTTTATGTATTTTTGAGAAGGTGGTCATACGTCGTGAGATGTGTTGCAAGGCTTTTCAAAGAGCTTTCCCGAGCTTTGCCATGGTTGCCGCTGCTGGGGGTCGACCTATACTAAGATGATCATGGGACTTAGTAAGTAAGGTTTTAAGTCCCCTAATTGGGGTTATAGAAGTATAGTTACCATATTTATAACCCTACTTACTAAGTCCCATGAGCCTTTAAGTAGTCTCCATTGCAGCTCCCGTTTTTTGGTTTAACCAATATATTTTAGAAGGGGCCCCCACCCTGTAATAGTGACTATAAGGACTATATTAGGTCCCTATGATATTCCTATTATACCACTGTTACAGGGTGGGGGCCTTCTAAGATATACTAAGGATCTACATAAGGTAATCCCAGACAAGAACTATGGAGACTATAGGTAGCGCACGTCCAAGCTTCGGGATCTGAAAAGCCGTTAGCTTCGGCTTCGAGGTCGGTTCAGCCCTAAGTTGTGCATGTAGTAGAGAAGCTAGCCTCTATCCTTTCTGGGGTACTTTAGTCCCTATATGACATTATACCACCTTTCAGGTTCACGATAGTAGGGAAGGTAGCCTTCAATCGTTTTTGGGTGTTACAATCCCTATATGACACTATACAACCTGACAATCAACGGTTAACGTTTGGTTCCCCTAGGCTATTGGACAAGCAGGATGTACATACTTGCAGCCCACTAGAGAAGGCGCACTGTCAAAGGTAATGCTCCACTTGTGTAGTCTTCTGCCGTTGCTTTCAACTGCGACGGCCGTTTCGGAGGCAGTCCAACGAAACAAATCGACATCGAACGCGGCAAACACCATTCCTGATGTTCAGACAGACACCGGCACCCCAAGCCCCAAAGTCGCTAAATCCCAAGCCTGAAACCAACATATCTTAACATCCACCATTCACAATTTCCGAGACACGTAGCCTTCAACCGTAAATTGCCCCAGAGTTCCGGCTAAGTCCTGACAACGCTGCAGGTGCATCGCTTGCACACTGCCTTGGCACGAAGCTTTGGTGAACGTGTCCCAGGCCCAGCAAGCCTCGACTAAGCCCGGTACCAGAAACTACCGTAAACCCTAAACCCTTAAACTCCGAACCCACACGCCTCGCCAAACCCCTTAAAGGGAACTCCAGAAAGTTGGAATATGGTTTCAGGGTAGGATACCTTATAATTTACCACAAAGGGTTTGGGATAATCATGTTCCAACTTTCTGGCTTTTACTTTAAGCTGATACCAGAACCTACCCTAAACCCCAAAGCCTAAACCCTAAGCTGATCATCAGCTTCTAGTTTGACACAGTCAAAGTACCTGCGGAGACCGAGACCTCGTGAGGCATGTCCGAGTTGCGAGAGCAGAAACCCCTAAACTCCTTTAGGGGTACTTAGATATATTTTTTAATTGTTCGTTATTATGATCCCTAAGAAACGCTGTGCGTGTCGCACGGCCTGTAAAGTTATTTTTAACTCTTTCTGGGGTTCCTCCTTGTAGCATACAGTACACTATATCCTAAGCAGTCCTTCATGAGGAATGGATCATTATGTAGCCGCATCAGCACGGCCCTTGATCCCAAACACACGTGTTGTCACCACCTAGTGAACCGTTCTTCGGAGCTACCCTGCAATGAGGGCTCGTTCTTGCTAGGTAGGAGGCAGAAAAAACACTAAGCCCTCGTAGGCTTCAAGCTTTCGGGTTGGGGTTGTGGGAGGGATTGGGTGTCTTTGGGTTTTTTTTTGGGGGGGGCTGACGGCGCGAGCTTTAGGGTTTACGGGGCATGGGACCTCGGTCAACATCGACCCTAAAGGAACCCAATACTACCAGGACCCTCCTTGTACCCTCAAATAGGGGTATATGGTCCCAAATACGGGGCATCTACGGTCTAATAGAGGGTCGATGGAGTGTCTAGGTACCGTCAAAGGGAACATGAACACCGCGAATTTATCAGCCAGGCAAGACGCGGCGACCAATTCTGGACACTGTGGTTGGAACGATCCTGCCGCCAGCTTCGCATTCACTTAGGGGTACCTAGAATCCCGAAGAAACAGCTAAAATTACAATTAATGCTTGGGTTCTAAGTTCAGTATAGTTCAGGAAACAACCACGTTAAACTTCAGCTCGCCAGGATGGGATTCCATGATGCTTTTGGGCCTCGGTATTTAGAAGGAGATGGGTGGGTGTCAAAATGAGGGTCCCTTTTTGGGTCCTTATTATAATACGGCACCTAATATTTGGTACCATATTTAGGATACCCCAAAAGGGACCATAATTTTGACAACCACCCGGATAGTAGATTGGAAGCCCTTTTCAGGCCGGACCAAAAGCGGCTTTTTAGGGGAGTATGCCAAAAGACCCTGGCTCTGCGCTCACCAGAAGTCACTCACGGGGCAGTTCCCATTCCAACGCATACGCGCGGTATCAGTAGCATGCGAGTGTCACACTGGACCCTGCACCCTAAACGATGAGGCATGCCCGAGTTGTGAGAGCCTAGACCCTCACCGCACCGCCCATGTTCAGTGCCCTGGCGAACAAGTTTAGAGTTGGCCCTGCTCCTGGAGCATGCTGGTGTAACCCTGCTTCGCGACTCGCTCAGCCATGCAGGAGGCAAAAAATACTCCAATGGGCCCCACGCATAGGCCCCATAGTGGTTCCTTTTTGGGATTACCTTATAAATAGGAACCCCAAAAGGAACTACTACAGGGCCTATGGGTTTCGATCCTGCGCGCTTCTATGCGCCGTCCCTCAAGACGGGAGAGGGGCTCTTCGGCACTTGGTAGTTTCCGAAACTTAGGGGTACCTTATTTTGTGGCCCTTATAATAAGGATCCTACCCCAAACTATATTAGGGTACCCTATTTTCGGAAACCCCCACATCGTGCGACATTTTCTGAAATCTCTGCATTTCAAACAGAGGTGCCCGTGTAGGAATCCGTTCCAAGCCAGCTGCAACGACACGCGACCTTGACCAATCAAAACCGACCTTGTTGTAGGGCTCCAATCAGTGACTTCCATAATTAGTCTTAGGGTGTATGATGAGAATCTACAAAAAGTCGATTATGGCAGGTTACAGGACACCTTAGACAGAAAGAAGGCCCCCACCATAGGCCCCATAGTCGTTCCTTTTTGTTTTGGGATTACCTTATAGGAGTTTAAAGATGAAAAAGGAACTACTATGGGGCCTATGGGTAGTTTATCTGCGATAATGGAGCCCCCTAAACCCTAATCTAAACCCTATAGATCCCTTATAGGAACCCTTGTAGATCCCTTTAAAGGAACTCTAGGAGGGGACCCCCCACAATCGTCAGATGTGAGGTCACAGAACACGACCAACACAAACTCCCACCGAGCTTTCCGCCAGCTGAAGAAGAGCAGCTTGCATGAGTATTTAGGGGCCAAGGGTGTCGGGGGCCGGGGTAAGGGTAAAGGAGGAGGGGGGAGGGACGACTTAAGGTTTCCGGGACGGCTGATCTTCTCCGACTTTTCAGTCGTGCTGATAGTTTGGGGATGTTCAGTGGCTCACTGCTGTTACTCTCAATAGTATATTGATATGGACTTGAAGTATTTCTGAGTTGTTTGTCGAACTCGACTTGCTTAGCTGTCACGTTTCCCGTCATTGCGTGTTGGGACGTGCAGGACCAGACGCTGCAGGGGCTTTCTGTTGCAAGAGGATTCGTCCGGCATTTGGTCACATGCAGGATACATTGCATATCTTTACATGCCGTAAGTAGGCATTAACAGCTGTATGACGTTGATCGGTTCAGGTCGATTGCAATCACACCCTGGCCCGAACACCCTTGGTAAACCTTATAGTGCTGCTCTGTCACAAGACGTGAACGGTCCCTGTTCCAGTAGTGAAGGTCCGTTCTTTCAACCTGATTGAAAGTTGATGGATTTCAGGTTTCACATGATTTCCGGCAGTGTTGGTTGAGGCTTCTCGCACTTGTCCCAAACCCCCACGACCCAACACACCAACTCTCCTAGAGCCCTCCCGAATCGCGGGAATCTCCGGAATCATTGGTACTGTGACAGAGAGACAGAGAGACAGAGAGAGAGAGAGAGACAGAGAGACAGAGAGACGGAGAGAGAGAGAGAGAGAGAGAGACAGAGAGACAGAGTGACACACGCAGACAGGGACAAGACAGAGTCAGACAAAGTTGACCACAAGCCCTTCGACGACCCTAAGCCCTGAACTGCCAGATATGTTATGCCTCCGTTCTTCCGGCAGCATGCGAGGTCAGTGCGACTTCTGCTCCTGACCCTTTCCAAAGCGCCAATGCTCCTCCAAGGCTATCCATCCTGGGACTCTGTGAGAACAGCCGCTCCACGTTCAGTGCAGGCACCTTGTTTACGGCTGAGAGTTGACCTGTGCAGCCAGTCCCTTCAAAGTAGTAGGTTATGACCCTAGAAATATTGATTGGGTATAACCCTGAACACTGGGTTCTTGGAGTGCAGAGTAGGCGCGGCAGGTCGCGGTTAGGTGTGTTCTCATTCAATTCAGGTTGAAAAAGTTGAATAAGGGTTCGTCAATCAGAATAGCATTTGAAGTTCTATGGTGTCTTGAGAACATCCGTTTTCTCTTGAGTAGTCGTTAAAGACTATCTTGCGAAGCACTGTTGTGAAGCCTCGTCTGCGAGGGTTTCAACCCTAAACCCACATAAACCCAAAGCCCCAAGCAAACACCAAAACCATAAGAACCCTGACAATTCCCTTACACGAGACTTCCCTTGAACCCTAAATGCCCTAAATCCTAAAGCTATAAAGCCCTAAAGCCATAAAGCCTTTACCCAAATCTACACTCAAGGCTGCAATCCGTTGCGGCGGACTCGCCCCGAAGTGCCATGCACGCATCTACGTGGGTTTAGGGCTTAGGGATCTATTTGGGATTTGGGGTTCAGGGTCAGGGTTTCGGGATCTATGAAGGGTTCAGTCGGTTCAGTGTGGCGAGTTCACGGGATATCGGCAGAGTCTGGGCTCAAACGAGGTATAAGGGATCCATACCCATAGGCCCCATAGTAGTTCCTTTTTGAGATTACCTTATAGGATTCTAAATATGAGCCCCCAAAAAGGAACGACTATGGGGCCTATAGGTAGTGAGGGAACTGGACGGGGTCTCACCGGTTGTGGTGTAACCCGACGGGTCCATGTCTCCCGACCCTACCTATACTCTCCATTGTAGTTCCTTTTTTGGTTTAACCAATTATATATTAAGGATCCTATAAGGTAACCCCAAAAAGGAACTACAATGGAGACTATAGGTAAACCCTGAACGGTGGCCGTGAGCTGTGTTTCTGCGAAGTCCTTTTGGGGCGACAGTACGTGCTACAATGGGTACATGAACCCTAGAGAGATAGGGATTTAGGGTTTTGGAGTTGGTGGTTTCGTCTGCGGGCTTTACTTACTCTTTAGGCGGTACAACTCTTTCGACATCAACGTTTGAGGGCTCGGAGTGGCAGTGCTTGAGTCGCCCCAAAAGGCTCTACGAACCTATGTGGTCCGCACATGCCTACACACAGCAGACAGCCCCTTTCCATATCATATGTCAACGCCCTATACCTATAGATCTCCTGAAGGGAAAGCTTATAGGCACGCGGAGGGTGGGTCGGGTTTGGACATCTTTTCTCCCGTCTCCGGTGGAGCACATCCATGAAAGTGCACCTTGACCCAAGCTCCCAAGCCTTGATAAGCTTTAACACCCATTCTCAGACCCTCGCCCAACGCAACCCTGAACAACAAGCCCTAAACGCTGCATCCTCACCACCCCGCCACCTAAACCCTTCAGCTGCACAGCTCAGAAGGTTTTGGGTTCAGACACAAAGTTGTAAGGTCATTCCTCCCAGAACGACTCACCCCGAAGCTGCCGTGAGCACCGAGGAAGACCAAGTGGATCCAAACTATCCTCAAGACTCTTCACAAGGCAGCTTCTTCACTTGGAGGGTCGGGGGGACTTAGCTAGTAGATCATAAGTGGAGTATTGGGGTTATGGTACTTATAACTCCAAAAATAACTACTTAGTAAGTCCGCCGACCCTCCAAGTAGAGCTTGCGAGAACGTGGTCGGCCGAAGCCCCCATGCACCTGTAAAGTCCTTTGTAACTGCGTTATGAGCAGCTACGCCGCATATAGCCTGGCCACTAAATCCCTTGGTCTTACTGTTTGTTTACTGGCCCAACTTGGGTCAGTATGTCGTGTTACTTTGTCTTCTTTCGGGCATTGGTTCCTGTGCGGCTGGTCGCTGACATGACACTTCACTGTTGTAGTATATTGCTGTTGTATTAACAGGTTAGTCCACCGTCATTTTCTGTACATACATACATACTGTATATACATACATAGTATGTTAGGATTTTATTGTTGTATCATTGCATTATTCGTTTTTGTGGGCATGTTGAAGGGATGCAGGGTTTAGGCTTCAGTCTGGGAATGTCAGCGCGGTGTTGGGGGGTATGGAATTGAAACCCACCTGCGGGCCTGGGCTTTGGGGCATACTACTATATAATAAGTGGACAAGCACTGTGACAGGACGTTGTTTCTAGCTACTCAGACCTCCAAACTATATGCTCAAGCCTTGCACGATTTGGGTTTCAGGGTTCATTTAATCAGCCGTATACCCGGCTCCTCAAGAACCCCATGCAGGAGCGAGGCAAGACGTCGATGGAGTTCCTGAGGACTGTGCTGCTTGCCAGCTGGTTCCCGACGAGTGTGAGTAGAGGTGCCAGTGCACTTGCGCTACACATGGGGCCTTGCAGCATCCTGCCGAAAAGAAATCTTCCAACTTAGAGAAAGGACCGTCTTGAAGGGCTTACAAACCATGTCACGTACCCGCTAAAAGGTTGGCTGCAAAAGCATATGCTGACCTGATATAACAAGCCGCTGGTACGCGAAATGTCACAAGTTTTGAACTCAACCGTTTGCAAAGCCCCTTTGAACCCTAAGCCCCCAAACCCCTAACCCCCAAACCCTTGAACACTAAGATCCTAGATCTGTAAACCCTGGACCCCTAAACCTCCAAACCTCCAGACCCTACACCCCTAAACCTCTAAACCTCCAGACCCTACACCCCTAAACCCCTAACCCTAACCCCCAACCTAGCCTAGGCGGGGAGAAAAAAGGGTTCAAAGAACAAATACCCCCTAAACCCCTAAACCCTCAGACCTTTAATAGCTAAGCAGGAAGGCATCGAAAGAGTCGGTCCATGAGGAGCTGGAGCGACTCTCGGGATGAACATCTTCTCTAGTGTAGGGAACCTGATTAAGAAACCTTGGGCCTTTATTAGGGTTCCTTTAAAGGGGTCTATAAGGGTTACTATAGGGGATTAGGGGGTTGAGAATTCCTTAGAGGGATCTTTAAGGGTTCTACGGGTTTAGGGTTTTAGGGTTTAGGGTTTAATGTAGGAACCCGATTAAGAAACCTTGGGCCTAAGGGTTCCTTTAAAGGGGTCTACAAGGGTTACTACAGGGGGTCTAGAAGGGATCTATAAAGGGTTTAGGGTTTAGGGTAGGACCTGATTAAGAAACCTTGTGCCTTTATTAGGGCTCCTTCTATGAATCCTACTATTTTGGAATTTTAGACCCAGGGTTTCTTAATCCGGTTCCTACATTAGCTAGGCCGTTGGGACAAAACCCTAAACTCGATCACCCTAAACCCTAAGCTCCTAAACCCTAAGCCTCTTAGACTACCCTTATAGTAATCCTTATAGGAACCTTCCCTTATTGGGCATAAGAGGATGTTTTCTATTTTTTTAGTTGTTCTTTTGAAAGGGGCCTCAGGCTGTCCTTACAGCCCTACTATTTGGGAGACCCTCGGAAAGCAATATCATGGTGGAAGAGGGCCTTTTAGCTTCCTACTGGCTTCTTGTAGCTAACATATCCCATTGTTATAGGTTTGTCCTTATCAAAGTGCATCCACTATAGTGTTCTGGGTTTGCTCCCGAAGCCGGACTTGTCAAAATATGCATCCTGCATCATGAGAACTTTGCTGGTTCTCGCTCATCTAGATAAGTATGGAGAAAGGGAGCAGCACACTATCAAAATCAAACCAAAGCCGTAAACCCTTCTTAACCCTCAAACCCCCAGAACGGAAATACGCAAGGCCAGGCTGTACCTATAGTCTCCATTGTAGCTCCTTTTTCTGGTGGAACCAATCATACATAAAGGATCCTATAAGGTAACCCCAAGAATAGGAACTACAATGGAGACTATAGGTAAACCCCTGTTAGGGTACATAATCACCCTAAACCCTAAATCCTTAAACCCCTAAACCCCTAAACCCCCAAAATAGGAACTACAATGGAGACTACAGGTAGAGTCCGGAAACCGGAAGCCCTCGAGCGTTGGACTCCTAAGGATTCCAAGGCATCGGCAAGAAGACCAGCGTGTCCTGGCAAAAGCACAGTAGGCTGCAGTGCTCCAGGGTGCATCGTAGTAGCAGCAGCAGCAGGAGCAGGAGCAGGAGCAGGAGCAGGAGGAGGAGTAGGAGTAGTAGTAGTAGTAGTAGTAGTAGCAGCAGTAGTAGTAGTAGTAGTAGTAGTAGTCATCGTCGTCGTCGTCGTCGTCGCGGTGGTGGTCGTGGTGGTATTGGCTGCGGCAGCGGCGGCAGCAGCAGCAGGACGTATGCACTGAACCTGCGATAGTTTGAAGAACCCCAAACCCTCTACATTTTGCTCTTAACGGACGCGAAGACGCAAAGCTTGGAGGGAGAGTGGCAAGCTAATCGCAGGTTTAGGGTCTACGGGGTTCTTACTTAACAGGGCACTCCTTCGCCTCGGTTGTCACAGCCCCTGGAAATTACCCGAAGCAGGTTTCCGAGAATACGGGACCCTAGTATAGGACCCTAAATAGTAGGATCCTTATTATATGGACCCCAAATAAGGTACCCCCTCTTTTCGGAAACTCCCAAACCCTAAACCCTTATAGATCCCTTTAAAGGTAACCCCCCCTAATTTTCGGAAACTCCCCATGGTCAGGCGATCATCAACTGCTTCGACTGTTCGAACCCTGACATGGCAGTCGACCCTCGATTGCCACTTCAAGAACAGGGTTTGGGGACCCAACCCTAAACCCTAAACCTTATACTAGAATTACAATAAGGAATGAACCCCTACAATAGTATAGGTAATTGTTAAGGCCCGTATAGTCGACCCTCGATTGCCACTTCAAGCACTCCATGTGGATGTTTAGGGTTTAGGGTTTGGGGGTCTAGGGTTTCGGGTTTGGGGTTTGGGGTTTAGGGTTTAGGATCATGTGGGTGGTTGTGAAAATTAGGGTCCCTGTTTGGGTCCCAAATATCATACGGCACCTGATTTTTAGGGTACCCGAAAAGGGACCTTAATTTTGACAACCGCCCATGTACCTTTAAGGGCTCCTTCAAGGTTGCTTGAAAGGGGTTCACTTGCAGGGATCTATGATGGGTTTGTGGGGCAAATGGGGGTTCTGCATTAGGGCTTCTGGGCCACAGTCTACAGAATGGACGATGCGGGTAAAAGATACATGGAGCCTTGGAGAAAGGTGTGGGTTGCGAGGTTTTCGGATCTGGGGCGTCCAGGTTGCAGCGTTACAGGGTTAATGGGCTGACGGCTGTGCTGGAGCTTTTGATACAAGATGATACAGGAGTTTCCTTTCCGACAATGTAGAGGCCGAAACCATCAGCTTTTTCCTTGGGGGCCCGTTTGAGAAGTGCAATATATACATATATCCCCCCCCTTACCCTCAAGGCCTTAGGATTCCTTCTTGTAAGTGTATGATAAAAGCATACAGCATACCCCACAGGCCTTGTTGTCGTCATCAAGGCCGTCTCTTATGTTCGCCGGGCTCCGGCTTGCTTTTTTTCAACTCGACATGGGATGAACCCTAAACCTTAGAAGAGGCCCCCACCCTGTAATAGTGACTATAAGGATTATGTTGGGGCCCTATTTTCCTATCATGCCACTATTACAGGGTGGGGGCCCCTTCTAATTCTAACCCAAACTCTAGTTACGGGGCTTTCCATTACGCTGTCAGGGGCTGAAACTCTCCTAGCAGTGCCGCCATCTCGGCCGGTCATACTTAATTTGGTACTTGTTCGGCACCATTTGCCAGCTCTACCCAAAAACGGCACTTCAGAAGAGGCCGCAAGTTCAGCAGCCTTATGGCCAAGACAAAAGGAAGGTGCGGAAAAATCGAGAGAGACCTGCAGAAATGTTACCGTGATTGAATTTATTTGGCGACATGTCTGGGAAAACACGTAAGGGCACTCCACCCTCCTTCCCTAAGTGCGCAGCAAACCCGCTTTCTTCCCTCGGCCGAGGACACCCATGTCTACCGCTACGCCCTGCAACTAGGTGGGGTTCCAATCGATTTATATTGGGCGTGGAAAGGTTGCTGGGAGGCTCCGTTGAAGGCTTCACGGCCTGGTGTAGAGCATGGGCATGACGGTTCGTGCTGCGCACATGGCGGAGCGACCATCTTATGCATGTCCCCTCTGCAGATCTAGCAGCCCTTGCCCGGCGAATACACCGCAACCGTTGAGCAATCGGGTGATTTGTTGCAGCGTGAACAGCCCAACATGCCGTACTATCGCCTGGGGCGAATATGGGATAGTACCCTAAATAGTAGGATCCTTATTATAAGGACCCCAAAATGAGGTACCCCAAATTTTCGGAAACTCCCATATCTAGTGTCGGGGCTGAAGAGTGTCATTCGCTGCGGTGCCCATAGCTAGCAGAAGTTACCCGTCAAATCCTTTTCCGGTCATCAAAGTTCATGTGCTAGCCTCAGCACTGAAGCCCAAATGCAACGGCAAGGTGTCTCTTCCTTTCTCTAGGTTATGATTATGTTGGGGATGCCATCGTCAGATGCTTGATCTGGTCTTCAGGGTTTGGGTTCAATTTTCGCTGCTACGGGGCTAATTGGGTTTTTCGTGTTGTTTTGGCACAACAAACCCTACACCCTAAACTCAAAAGCTAAACCCCTAAGCCCAAACCCTAGCCTGCCTTTGTGCGAGTGTGCGAGCCTAAACCTACACCGGGCCCAAAATTATTTTCCCCAAAGCTTAGAGCCTAAAAGCCAAAGCACCTTCGAACCTCAAGGATTCGGAAGCCCTGCAACCCTAGCCGCAAAGCTTCCACAAAGAAACGTTGCAAACCCTATTCAAGTCAAGGTTATAAACCCTAGTACAACCGAAGAAAGTTTACTAATACCTTATGAACAACCCCTAAACCCTAAATCCCTAAATCCTTAAATCCCTAAACCCTAAACCCTGTAAATAATACCTTATGGACACCCTCGGAAGCCGGTGTTGATCCCTGTGGAAACAGGCTGGGCTCCCACGGAGAAGGAGCGCGCTAGGCACAACAAGGCTAGGGATTTTAGGGTTTAGGGATTTGGGGAAGTCCGTGCTTAAAAAAAAGGGATTTGGGGATTTAGGGTTTAGGGATGTAGGGTTTAGGGTTTAGGGTGTAGGGATTTAGGGTTTAGGGTTTAGGGGTTTAGGGTTTAGGGGTTTAGGATTTAGGGTTTAGGTTTAGGGTGTAGGGATTTAGGGTTTAGGGTTTAGGGATTTAGGGTTTAGGGTTTAGGGGTTTAGGGGTTTAGGGTTTAGGGGTTTAGGGTTTAAGAGTTTAGGGTTGATAGGGTTTAGGGGTTTAGGGTTTAGGGTTCAGTTTATACTCGTACCTGCAAATCCACAATCCTATCGTTTTAGGGGTTGTGCGGTACGCAAATGGGGTCATAGAAGCGTATATTGTCGGGTTTGGGATTACATGCATAAGAGGTTTTGTAAGGGTTGTCAGGTTCTGCACGGGCTTACTGCGCCGACATCTGTCAGGGCTCTTCATGATTGTCCCATGTGGAGGCATGGCGGCCTCGGGCTTAGGACTTAGGAGTTCATGGGTTTTGATTTTTTCACTTTGTCCTGTGTTTGATTGAGCAGCCTCAGAGCAAGGCACCCTAGACCGAAATCCCTGCATGGTTGCAAGCTTGATTGGTGCCATTGCCCGGAGACAGCTCAGGATGGAGTTTCAGAAAGTAGGATCCAACAGAATCCAACATAGGATACTCTAGTGGCACTAACATATACGGACGGTTTTCGTCGTTGTGACAAGAAAGGGTCGGAGTCATAAGCCAACATCGCAAGCTGAGACCCGCGTCCCTGTCCACCATGTTGGGCATTACCAACAGCACATCATCTAGCTTTTGCTCCAAGTCCTTGTCCTTACTATTTCGGCCATTGCAGCAGGGACGACCAACAAGACGACTTCTCAGGGCTGAGTCTGGATGAGCTCGTTTCAGGTGATGATATAAGCGCAAGCCACGAGGCGGACCAGCGACAGTAATAATAGTGATAATAATAATAGTAGTAATAGTAACAATAATAATCATCATAGTAATGAGCATTGGTGAATCGGAACTGCCGCCAGCCATCGACACTAAGCCAGTCTGAACTGGAACCCTCACAGCCGACCTGAAAGACGACGACACGGTGCCATTGTCCTACTACCACAGATGCGATGCGGTGCTGCTGGAACTGCTTCACCAATGCTCATGTGGGCGATTCCTGGATTTCTCTCCGGGAGCAGGCGATGCTGCTCTTGAATGCATCACCCGTCGGACTATGGCCCACTTCCCACGCCCCAAGCCAGCATTGCCCTGAACATGTGAATGCTTGCCCCTAAGCTTGCAACAATTCCATAAATCCGCTATATATGCTGCATATGCTTTCTACAGTCTGGCCCATTGCACAAGCCCATGACGCAGTGCTCAAGTTCCAGGCCCACGTATAGACGTAGAACCTGGGCGAGCGCCACAACTCCACAAGCCCGGAGTTATCCTCAGCATCAGAATCTATGGAAGCCCTAAACCCTCCTAAAGCTCAAAACCCAATCTGACCTCCCTAAACCCTAAACCCTAAACCCTAAAAACCCTAAACCCTAAACCCTAAACCGTAGCCTTAAGATAACCATGAGGCGAAAGGGGCGAGGCCATGGCCCGTGGTGACGCGCGACAACGTGTATCTGCACTTGGACGCACACTTTCCGGACCGTTCATTGGTTTAGGGAACATTCCCCTTTAAAGGGTCCAGGCACTCAAAATATTTATGCAATTTTTGGGGTCTGAAGGTTTAGTGGCACTTTGCCTTATCACTTATTCTGTACTTTAAACGTCGGGCTCCAAAACCGTGTTCGCAACTTCAAAGCTCCCAGATTGCTTGCACTATGCGTCACCTAGAGGCTCCATAGTAGTTCCTTTTTGGGGGACATATATGGAATCCTATAAGGTAATCCCAAAAAGGAACTACTATGGAGCCTATGAGTAAGGATTGAGAGCAGCATATGACAGCAGCAGCGCTGAACTCAAGACTCCGAATCCTGCAGCCTCGCAACAACTGCGCAGCAACTGGTTCTTGAACGCGCATACAAGTTTTACGATTTTTCATGATTATAATCATGCTGCATACAAGTTTTACTATGTATCGTGGTCCTCTAATCAGGGTCCAACAAGCTTCTATATGGGTGGTGTGACACGAGTTCTGCGAGGATGCTGTGGGGTATTCTAGGCATTCTACATGGGTTCTAATGGGTTCTATAAGGTTTCACTACGACCCGAAGTGCCTTGAGCGAGAGCATTAGAGTCATTAGAGTTTCAAGTGAGCCGTAGCAACATGTCTTTCTGCCAGGATGCTCTGAAGTACTCGATGCACCTCATTCTCACTGCAGCTCGGTTGCTTTGTTCATGCTTTCTGAAGCAGCTCACTATAGTGAAGGTTTCGGGCGCGCAGGGAATGCCACTGTCTTGCAAGGCCCCCACAAATATCTGAGTGTGTCTTTACAAGCCTTTATATTACGATACCCCAAACATGTAGAACTAGGAGGTTCAGGTAGGGTTTGCCTGCCTGGCTGTGCCTTACGTGGACGGCATGACACGGAGAGAAGAGAGAGGGAGGGAGAGAGAGAGAGAGAGAGAGAGAGAGGGACAGAGAGACACAGAGAGAGCAAGGCAGGGAGAGAGGGAGAGAGAGAGGCGTCATCAATCGTGAAGGCCCCTGAACTTTGAATGCTATTAACCTGCAGGCCCAAGCCCATAAACACGAAGGCTTCAGGAGCACAGGATTAGGAAGCCCGTTTTCGAGGACACGGAGGGAGGCTTGCCCGTCGTCTGCGGTGCCCGCAACATGCTTCGTTTCGATGGGAGGCTTTTCTGCATTTCTGGATCTAAACGATAGGATAGGACTTTTAGAAGCCCCTTAAACCCCTAACCCCCCGAACCCCTAAACCCCTAAACCCTAAACCCCTAAACCCTAAACCCCGAACCCAAACCCCCAAGCCTTTCCATGACTGCCTGGTGTTCCGGGGAAGGCTTATTTCATCCTGTAGTTCGACTCCCAGGCCGAACGAGATTCTCAGCGGGCCGCGTACACCCTAGTAAGGACGCATAGGCCCCATCGTGGTTCCGTTTTGGGATTCATACATAGAATCCTATAAGGTAATCCCAGAAAGGAACTACTATGAAGCTTCATATTTAGAATACTACCAGGTAATCCCAAAAGTGAGCTACTATGGGGCCTAGGGCAGACTGCCCGGCGAAGATGGCCTTCTTGGGGCATATATGTAATTTTCTGCACCGTCGAAGCCGGAGGAGCACATTTCGACATAATAGAGGGGCCTAAATAATCAATTACAACTGTTTTTTCAAGGGTGCCTGAGTACAATTAGGGTATAATATACCCCAAAACCCCATTATGAATATTGTGGCCCGTATAGTAAGGCCCAACAGGGCATTGGTGGTTTAGGACCTACGAGAACGGCTTTTCGATGGAAGGCGTCTTCAGACCCTACATCCAAGGGTTTAGGGTTTAGGGTTTAGGGGTCCGTTTAGAACCCGAACTTGAGTGCTAAGGAAGAAGGTGACCGTGGATGGAAAGCCGCTGAAATGAACTCTATTGGAGAGGTTCATGAATTTGCGCGGGTCTAGCTTGGATATCGTCGACAAGTTTCAGCGTAACAGCGGGTTCAGGCTTTAGTTCAAGATTTAGGGTTCCTGTTGCAGGCACACCCCGCTGCTGCTGTGCTTCCTGCACCTGGACGCTCCAATGCAGGTCCCGTCGTAGGTACTTAAATCCAGACTGATAAGACCTCTGTGGTGCATCGGTTCATCCTTAACATGGCAGCTATGCTCGAGCATCCAGGTGTTCAATTTTAATTCTTTAGAGATGGTCGCTTCCATCGACATTAGTCTCGGCCTCGCTTATCGCTTGAAAGCCTCAGGCCCCGTGTTCTGTCTGGCAAACCGAGTGTGAGCGTTGAAATCCGGAGTTGCCCTCAGAGGCCTATCGGTTTGCCGGGTTCCTGCGCAATTTTCGCGACCAAGAACGGGGCCCTCCAGCCCCTGCTGCCCTGCAATTTCCGCCACAGATTCAACAGATATGAGTATATCAGGATCATGCCATAGACACGATTACAAAGCTGTGTAGCAATACGAAGCCATGAATTGGGGTTGGGGAGGAGACGGGGTTTCGCCTGCACATTTAGATTAGTACATGAGCATGTATACATACACATAGCCCCTCCCGGCCTCACACAATATAACACACACACACACACATTCATGTGTATGTATATATATATATATGTGTATATGTATATGGGCATATATTTATATGTATATATGTACGTAGGACCTTTAGGGTCCATTTGGCGTAGGGCTGTGCTCTGTGTGTCAGTATATAGTATATATATATATATATATATATATATATATATATCTACATACAGAATTAAACTTTTCCAGAGTTTCATATTTAGATGAGGTCAAGTCTGTATATTTTGAAATCGTCTGGAATTAAAAACCTAAAGAACGTGAAACATGTAAATACGGAAAATCTTTACATTATGTAAGAACGCGCTTTGTTGTCCCTCTCTTACTGTGTATATATGTGTACATACATACATATATATATATATATATATCTATACACATGTGTGCATGTATGCATGCATGCATGTATATACACATACTTACATATGCTATATGTATGTTTATATATATATATATGTATATACTCATACTTACACACATACATACATACATACATACACATGTTCACATCTTTAGATATGAATATGCCCTGATTCAGGGCTTTACAGATCCTTCTTGCACGAATGCCGGATGGAGGAAACCTCTTGTGCATTGAACAAACAGACAACAGCTGCATGCTTCACCAAACGAAACTTTTCAATCCAATGAGTTCTTAATCCCTATAAACCGTGAAACCCTATGACATTCCATAACCCCTAAATCCCTAAACCCATGCGCATAAGCTTCAGCTGCTTTTCGCCCGCGTTGACCGCGTCGGCCTCCAGCTCACGAGCAAAATCAGCGCGATGTGGTTGTGGTCCCAAGTTCCCAAACCCCAAGCCCCTAATCCTAAACCCTATTATATAGCCCTAAACCCCTATGAACCCCAGTCGCCTAACCCTAAACACGGCAGTATCCGGTGGGTTGGGGTCTGCAGGTGCCGGGTCGAGGCTGAGGCAGATGATGGATGCAAGCTACCATGGAAGTTTCCGAAAATTGGGGGGGTACCATATTTAAAGGGATCTATAAGGGTTCCTTTAAGGCTTCCTATAAGGGATCTATGGGGTTTAGGGTTTAGGGTTTGGGAGTTTCCGAAAATTAGTGGGTACCGTACTTTGGGATTTTGGGGGTCCATATAATAGGGATCCTACTATTTAGGGTAGTATATTAGGGTCCCCTATTTTCGGAAACTCCAACATGGGTTTAGCGTTTAGGCCCTACCCGTGCCCTTTCATGGGCTAGATAATGGGTATATAATAGCTATATTAAGGGTATACACCTTGGTGTCCTTATTAGTCCCTCCTTTTCCCCTTTGATTCATCCCTTGTTTAAGGTGGTGCACATCGCTGAGGGCTTGGGGATCAAAGTACGCAAGCCCTAAACAGGAGCACTTGGCCCACACGGGGGTTTCCGAAAATTAGGGGTACCTCATTTTGGGGCCCTTATAATAAGGATCCTACTGTTTGGGGTAAGGAAAAACATGATCTTTTCAGGCCCTCATATGGGAGTTTCCGATAGTAGGGGACCCTAATATTGTACCCTTAATAGTATATAGGATCCTTCTCATCAGGACCCGAAACTATAGTTCCACTATTTTTCGGAAACTCCCAAATCCTGGTCTCGTGATCGTGTAAATCGCATGAACGGTGCGCGGAATCAGAGCCACGCAAACCTCCGCTCCGCAGAACCCTCAAGCCTAAACCCACCTATGCGAGCCTCGTTCTTGCTAAGTAGGCGGGAAAAGATCCACCTACCTTTCTTAGCCCTAAACCCTAAACCCTAAATTCTTAGGCCGAACCCTCAAACCGTTCAAGCCCAGCCCGAGGACAGTCAGCCCCGAACCCTTGAAAACTTATTAGACCCCAGGCCTGTAGCATCATGCCGTTCGCAGGTGTTTAGGGAGTAGGGCTAATTACAGGGTTTCATGAGGCGGGCATGTAGTGCAAAAAGTGTTCCATGATGAACCCCTAAGTTCTGAGCCGCTGTCGTACTGACACTGCCGTGTGGCTCAAAGGGACCGACACCGCTGCAGTACCAAACAGGGGTCCCCGTCCCTCCATCCAAAAGAAAGCTCGGAGCTCGGGCTGTGTTTTGGGGTTTAGGGGTTTAGGGTTTAGGGATTTAGGATTAGGGTTTAGGGTTTAGGGGTTTATTTAGGGTTTACGGATGTAGGATTTAGGGTTTAGGGTTTAGGGGTTTATTTAGGGTTTAGAGATTTAGGGTTTAGGGGTTTAGGGTTTAGGGCTCCTTTCAGGGAACCTTGATCTTATTGTTGGTTAGTAGGGAGGGAGTGGAGGAATGGGGTACAATTATAAATTATAACTACGATTACTACCATTCTTCCATTCCCTGCTAACCAAAGGTAAGTTTGGGGTTTACGGCTCTTTTCAGGGAACCTTGATGGTAAACTTAAAACCCGGCCCGAACATCCCTGAACCCTACCCAACTCGACACTCTACCCGAAACGCGAAAGCCCATCCTATATCCTGAAAGGCTTGAGGGTGTTAGTCGGAGTTTCGGGGCCCCTGGCTCCCTACACTCAGCGTGTAGAGTCTGGGCTTGTAGGATTCAATTTCTTTTTTGGAGTTGACGGCGCCCAGGTAACATACTGCGGACCCCTCGTTTGTACACCTCCGTGCTTCCCTTTAGGCCTTTGTACTGGGATTCCGAGTATCGCGCTTGTTTGGGGAGGTGTTGTTATTAATCAGTGGGCTCCCTTGGGATTGAGTGTGTGAGAGTTCCTAGAGCATTTGGCTCTCGTCCCTTCTGTTAGGAGAAGGTTTCTGGGGTTTCATAGTTTGCCCTAAACAAACCCATGAACCCTTCATCGTGGCGTTTTCTGTCGGCCGTCGACCTACAGGTCGTCGGGTGTGGGAGCTTCAGGGACTTTTGATTTTGGGACGTTTTGGTTTTCGATGTTTGATTTTGAGGGCTTCGTGCATTTACCGACCGAGAAGGTGTTCGTTTGTTTTCGGGTACCGGATTTGTCGCGTTGAGAATGAAGAGTAGTCTCTTTGAGTGTTCAATGCCTTTGATGCCTGGGCTCGCCGAAATCTGCCTAGTCCCTTCGGCAACCGTATTTTCATCGCTCAAAGCATGCACCCAGATCGTGACTACGAAGTTTAGACGCTAGGGATCTGGGACCCAGAAGCTCGGGGGGTTCCCCAGAATTTAGACGGAGCGAGTCTGTGAAGGTTTTGCGATCACCTTAAAGTCTAAAGCCTCGAGCACGCTGAACTCTACACACTACACATTTTTAAAGCGGTTCTGAACAGAAAAAGGGTGCAGGAACAGTAAGTTAAAACCAACTCAATGTGGAATCCGAAAGCCTCCGCAAAAGATCGCCCAGAGTGTGAGCGCCGACAGCCCTCGAGCCGCACAAACCCCGAGACCCAACCGAAGCCCTAAGCAACGTAAAGCTTAAACCAAGACTCGCCCTAGACCCCTAAGCCGTAAACACCTCGACCCCAAGCCCACTACCCTTGTGAAGCGCAAGACTCACATCAGTTTGCCTTCGCTAAACCCTAAACCTTAAACCCTTGACTGGCCCCTTAGAAAGTTTCACATTGTCAGACTCCGAACCGTATGCCTCGCCTGGATTGTCCGAGTGCGAGCGCCGAAACCTTAAACCCTAAACCTTAAACCCTAAACCCTAAACCTTAAAACCCTAAACCTTAAACCCTAAACCTTAAACCTTAAACCCTTTGTGCAAGGTCATCTCACGCATTTGCAACAGGCCGGGACCTGCCAGCTGGTGTAGAACCGGATATGGGAGTTTCCCGAAAATTAGGGCTCGTTTACTACTATTTGCTTAAGAACCCCCAAAAAAAAACATATTCCTTATGGGGGTAATATAGGGATTATTATTTTATTTTTTGGGTGTTTCTTAAGCAAATAGTAGTTTAAAGGGATCTATAAGGGTTCCTTTAAGGCTTCCTATAGGGGATCTATGGGGTTTAGGGTTTAGGGTTTGGGAGTTTCCCGAAAATTAGGCGTACCTTATCTTGAGGTCCTCATAGTAAGGATCCTACTGTTTAGGGTATTATATCCGGGCCCCCTGTTTTCGGAAAGCTCCCATATGGGGCTGAATGTGACTTGGAGTTTATTTGGGTTCAGTTCAGGGTTGTTGGGGTTTAGCCAACATTTTGCTTCAGGGGCCAGCGTACTCAAGAGAGGCTATCCCCATGATAGTTTCTATATCCGATAGAAAATAGTAAGCCCCAACTTTCAAGCCGCTGTTCTCAAGTGTCACTAAGTCCCATAAATGTTGTTGGTGGCCTTTCTACTCCATTTCCCACTTTTTTGTCGCCCCTTAAGAAGTGAGAGACAGGTAGGATCGAGGATGTTTTTGTTTTTTGTAGGGCGGAGGTGTATTCATCAGGGGTCCTGGCTGCAGCTTAAAGTGGCTAAGCTCAGCCTCCCCTTTGGTCCTAAACGCCCGAAGCACTAAAGCGAAAGCTGAGCCGTTCGACCTTTTGGACCTTTGCCGAAAACCTGACCTTACAGCCCTCCGGAAACTCCTGTAAAAGCCTGAAGTTCAAGCCTCTATGTCCCCACAGCATCTCAAGACCCTTAAGCCGTGAGCAGCCCCGCACCGAAACTTGAGGACCAATTAAGTCCAAGCCTGTTTGGGGTGTGTTGTCGTGTGCTTAGGGTTTTGGTGTTCGGGCTGTTAAGGTTTGCTTCGGGGCACGCGGCGTTCAGATAGGCTTCCTCTAATTTGTGGATAGATCTTTTAAACCCTAAACCCTAAACCCTAAAGAAAATTAATTAGAAGCAACGCCCCAAATCCGAAGCCATGACCTGAACTCGAAGACCGAAATTGTTTCAGATTTGTTGGGCACCTGGGGCCCTCCAGGAGTCTCAAAGCTCTCAGTTGGTCCTGCATAGGAGAGCCTCACTACTTCATTTTCAACTCTTTACCTAGCCAAGCTGCTGCCACCAGTATGCAGTATTGCTTTTCGGTTATTGGTATCGCTAAGGGATACCTATACATGTTTTCGCCTTGGCGCTCAACGCAGTGCGCCTTTGCCAACCTAGCAGCGACCTTTACACAGCACATTTGGCCTTCATGAATTTCGTAAAAGATATCGACCTCACCTGAATTTCTTGGACCCCTTCATTCCAGAGCTAGGACAGCCAAACCTTAGCACGCCCGGCTTAGTTCCAGACCTGAAGCTCAAACTCCAAGAACCCCAAGAGGTAAACCCTAAACTTAATCCCCACCATTAGTCTCCATTGCAGTTCCCCTTTTTGGGTTTAACCAAATATCTAACTAGGATCTTATAAGGTAACTCCAAAAAAGGAACTACAGTGGAGACTATAGGTAAGCCCTAAATCCAAATCCTAGCTTCGCTTGGCAGGTCGAGGTCTTCCACGCGAGCCTTGATCTACTACTCTTGACTAGGCGCTTTCTGAAGGCTGCATGTGCCCTATATAGTATATACTGAGGCCTCCAAGACGCTCCTATATCTATACATCATATGTATATACACACATATATACATATATGAGTTGAAGGTTTCGGGCGCACGAGGACTTCGGGCGCTAAACCTGACCCAACGAAAGGTGAGATGGTGCGACTGGGAATGGGCCCCGACCTGAAGAAAAGACAAGAGAGAGCGAGAGAGAGCGAGAGTAGTTCTTTTTCGAACGGATCTGTGGGGCTCCGTTTATCCTTGTAGGCTTGCTTGCTGCGACGCAGAGTTTCGGGCTAAGACTGGAGCGTAGCAAATCCTGAGCTTGTACAATCCGTTGTTGTATTTCCAAAGACCTGAAGCCCCACCTCACATCTCGAGTACTTGCAACCAGAACCTCTCACCCTTTCGATTCCAAAGCCCAAAACCTGAAATGAAGCCCTGGAAGTCCACAGCCCCAAATCCTCTGATATAGTAACAAAGCATATCTATGAAAAAAGGCTAGAATCGGATGTTATTGCCAAGTACTCAGACTTCGAAATTCCGGCTCGGGGTGTTTGGGGATTGGTGCTTCAGGGCTTCAGGGTTTAGGTTTGCAGGGGGTTCACGATCAGTGAGCCTACTTCCAGACCTGCATCCCGAAACATTATGCCCTAAATCTCAGTAACAGTAAGAATGCAATAGGCTGCTAGGCTGAGGCATAAACACCAAAAGAACCAATGCCAATAACAAATCTAAGCCCCTGAAAGAGCCTAAACCGCCAACCCCTCAATCCTTAGACACCCTGACAACCATCCCTTTGTCGTGCAGTTCACAGCTCCTCGGTGGTGCGCGCCCCTCAGTCGTAGTCTTCTTCCCGTACGGGCGTATATACCGAGGGTTTAGGGTTTTAGGGCGTTAGGGTTTAATATTAGGGGAATACTTGCCCAAACCTTTTTGCCCCTAGATTACGTTCAACAGGATTCCTATCAGGGTTCGTGTAGCGGCTCTTTCGAGGGCCAGGGTTGACTATCGGGTTTTAATGGGTCCATGCACTTGAATGGATGGTTGGATTGATGGATGGATAGATGGATCGACGGACGGATGGACGGATGGGCCGATGGACGGATGGACCGATGGACGGATGGACGGAGGGAAGGAGGGAGGGATGGATGGATGTTGCAAGTATAGTGTGCAGGAACAGTATAGTATAGTATATATATATATATATATATATATATATATATATGTATATATATAGTACAGTTTGGTTCAGACTCAGGGTTTACCAGGCTTGCTATGTTGATTCTATATGGCAGTTCCAGGGCAGTATCATGTATGCTACAGGGGTACATGGACCCTCACCTTGGGGTTCAGGAGTTGCAATCTCGAGGGGTTTGTATGTTCAGCAATGTTTGGAAATGAGGCTTAAGTTCCAGGTTCCTGGGTGAGGTATGCAATCCCTTGCGTCCTTGCAAGCAAGCCTGCAGCAAAAAGGTATGCAATCCCTTGCACCGATGTTCGCATAGCCTGGAGCACTGGTCGGGGATTAACAACTGAGGCCAGCTTGCATTTTGCACCCAAGGGCTCCCTCAGTGGAACTCGCACCAGGGGAATGCCACGTATAGGCTCTGATCACTGATCCACAAACCAGGTATCTTGAAGCCTTTAGGGCCACTTTAGGGAAGGCTGTCACAAGATGAACCCTAAAACCTAAAATTCACCAAGCGAGATGGTCGGTTCGGTTCGGGAAGCTCGACTGCCCCCGTAAAGGTTTGGAGTTTCGCAATCGACTATGGGTGCAGGCCGGCACCCCGCGCCTTGAACGCTCCCGAAAGGATCTAAAGCCCCCCGAAATGCCCTAAACCCTACGGCAACCTTCAAAGCACACATACAGAAACACGGTTCCCAGGCGAAGCCGTACGCCCACCATGTCCTTCTTCAGGCACTGCCAGCAAGGATTGAGGGTTCAGGGTTGCCGGTTGTTTGGAGAAATCTCCACTAGCCAGAATCATGTTCGGGACCCCTGAGCAGTCGGCAGTCTAACTAAACACTTTGACCCTTGAGAACTTTCGACTTGCATCCCACGGTTGGTTTCGGACGAATTATATACCTGCGGTGCGACTCTGTCAGCTGGGCGGGTGGGAAAAAACCCTTTTTAATACGAATACTCATACTAATATTAATACCAATACTGATATTAATACTACAATACTAATATCAATACTAATACTAATACTATCTCGTTTATAGTCCTTTTCATCGTGAGGTCCTTGTTCTTCGTCTTGTCCTTGCTGCTGCTGTCGGCCGCACAGGACACAGGCGATGCTTAGGGCTTTTAGGGTTTAGGGGTTTAGGTGATGAAAGCCCTGAGCCTGTCAGCTCTGTGTAATTACATGCGTGCCACGAGACCTTGATGGTCCAAGCTTTGCGGAGTGCTAGAAGACTGTAGTCAGTGTGAAGCACGGCAGGTCCTAGCAAGCATAGCAGTCCCAAGAACGGCAGAAGCCAGCATAGATTGTGCGCTTCGTGGAAACAGATTTCTTCGTCAATTCGCTTGCGTTTGCCATGTCGCATTCACATGCTGTTTCTGGTGCATCAGAGAGTGCCTTGCTTCAGCAGGGTATGAGCCCAACGCTACCCGATGAAGATAGTGCTCCAAACTATGGGGCCCTCTTCACGGAGCCACTGCGAACGGAAGGTGAGGCTTCACTCTCAGCACCTACAGCGGCTTTGCCTAATGGGGTTCCTAGCGTACCACCACGTGAAGTTCATGGTCTGGACCCCGCTGGCCCTTGTAGCACTGTGAATGATGGTATGGAAGCGCCCAGAGCGATGCGTCAGATTCCTGTTGATGGAACAGCGTCGCCTACCGAGAATGTGGCCTTGACAGCCTCGACTGCTGCACCGAATGGAGTATCTCTTCCGTTGTTTCCGGCCTTTCAGCCCTCTCCTCTGCCAGGACAATCACCGGTTGATGTGCGAGAAGGAGGACGTGGACCAGGCTCGTGGTTCACCCGGTTGGGGGATTATATACAGAAGAGAGTGGAGGTTACTTCGTGGTCCTCTCCACCGGGGTCTACTTCTAACCAAGCGAGTGTGTGGCATAACAGGAGTCAAGTGCAGACTATGATGGTTGCGTCTCCTACTATGGGAGAAAGGAGGCCCGAGTCGAACTCAAGCGGATCCGCAGGGATACCTCAAGAGATGGTTCAGGCCGAAGTGGCTCGGCAACTGGACAGCGCGATGAGCGAAGTGATGAGTCGACTGCAGGACGAGAGGCTGAAGACTGAGCGAGCAGCTTTGGAGGCGCGGCAGCTACGGGAACAGCTCGAAAAATTCGAGATGGCGGCCCAGGCGGCGCCGCCGCTCCCGATTGGTCCCCCACCGGGGATGTTACCGCTGGGTTCGAATGATCATGGAGCTTCTACCGGAGTCCCTGCGAATCATCCTCTACCTGGTCCTGTTATAGGTTCGGCAACTACTATGGTGCAAGGCAATCAACGTCATCGTGATCTAGAGTATGCAGGTGAAGACGCTATAGTTGCAGGAGGCTTAGGTGTACCAAGCGGTGATCGGGCCTTTGCAAATGTTGGAGATACTGTTGCTGAGGGCTCTACTGTACCAGAAGGTGATCGGGCCTATTTGAACTTGGGTTACAATGTTCTGGGAGGTCCTACCGTATGCCATGGTGATCGGGCCTTTACAGCAGTTAGGGGTGTAGAACCCAATATTTATGATCCTGGAGCTTCTACCGGAGTTCCGGCGAATCATCCTCTACCTGGTCCCTTCGAAGAACATGGAGCTAGGTCTCGTACCAGGTCTCAGTCGCCGAGTGGTCCACGTGCCTTTTTGCAGGGCTTGTTCGGTCTGGGTACAGCTGGTCGTGATGATGGACAAGCGTTTGACTCCAGGGTTCAGTCTGGTTCGAGAACAATACCTACAACCTTCACACCACCTCCACTTCAACCTCCCTTACCTCCACCACCACAACCACCTACACGTATGGCTACAGGTGCAGCGGCGTCGGCTCGGGATGACAGTGTCTTGGCGACTTTGGCCCGAGGCATAGAAGCGCTACTGCAACAGCAACAGCAAGGACCCCGGCATGATCGTCCCGAAACGGTTAAGCCGGGCATCTCTGAACTTCCCCACCTTCCGGAGTACCAGCCGGCGACGGGGTCGATAGACTTGCTTCACTGGTTGACGCACATAGCACCAATGATGGAGGATTTGTCAGATACCAGCTTGCTTTGGTGGCAGCAGACGGTCAAGGACGCCCTCACATGGTATGCCCAGTACTCAGCGGCTCCGCCGTTAGCGCGACTGCAGCTTCGTCCTCGATCAAGTCATGACCCTCGTCCTGAGTGGGCTAGGGTTGAAAGACGGGCTACAGCAATGATGTTGAGTGCAATCCCAAAGGCGATCCGCGAGGAGGTAATCGCTCATGGGCAGATGTCAAGCTTGGATGTGCTGTGCAAACTTTACTCGGTGTACCAGCCGGGTAATCTGCAGGAGAAGTCGTTGGTTCTGCGGATGTTGGAGCAGCCTGAGGAGTGCACCACGGCGCTTTAGGCAGTTGAGGGGCTTCGGAGATGGAGCCTGTGGAGACGGAGGGCGGCTTCCTTGGGGATGACGGAGCCCGATGCGTCGGTTCTGGTGAGGGGCTTGGACAAGATCACGGCGCCCATCATCCAGGGGAGTGGCGAGCTATCGTTCCGGGTGAGCTTGATCAGAAGTACTCTGCAGGTGGATGTGAGTCCCTCTTCGTCTACGGTGACCACCTTTCACCAGCACCTCCAGGCCGAGATGGAACAGCAGGCCAGATTCGGAGTGGCCAAAGGGATTTCGGATGTTTCTCCTGCGATACGAGCGGTTACCACTGGCACCACCGACACTACAACTTCATCACAACAACTACCTACTACAACTTCACCTACATCCCCTACTACCAAACCACAAGGAGCTTTGTGCAGGTTCTTCGCCTCCGATAAGGGGTGTCGCCGAGGAAATGGATGTCGGTTCCCGCATACGTGGGCCTTGTTGGAGAAAGGAAGCCGTCAGAGGAAGTGTTTGTGCTGTGGGTCCACTCAGCATAAGGTGAGGGAGTGTCGAGCTCCCGGAGGTGGCCAGGCAAAGTCGGCAGCTTCGCGTACTGAGGCGGCGGGTCCAGGTGAAACGGGATCTACGTCACCAACGGCTTCTGCTTCGGACTCCCCGGCGAGGAAAGTGAAGTTTGATGGGGAGCAAGTGCAGGCCAAAGTGTTTCAAGTCCTCCAGGAGGTGAAGAACATTCCTTTGTTCAGGTCAGTGATGGACACGGTGAGCCGGTGGGCGTCCCAACCTGTACCGCCTTCCCCTAGGGCACGATCGGCTTTGTTGGACTCAGGTGCAACCCATGTTCTACGTGCGCCTGCTGATGATCAAGAATGGGACCGAGCCAAGGATGTGAATGTTCAGTTAGCGGGCGATGGCTATGCGGCCATGCGGCAAACACCCGCAGGTACGATACTCAACGATGACCAGATGGCTCAGGTGATTGTGCCGTTGGGCAAGGTGATTGCCAATTTGGGTTAACGGTTGCATTGGACTTCCAAGGAGTGCTACCTGTACGGCGAGGACGGTGAGATCATCAACTTGGAGGTGGTCCGCGGATGTCCTGAGGTGAGTGAAGAGGTTGCAAAGAAGTTGATTATGCGGTTAGAGGAAACTCAACTTCCTCAGCTTCAGGATGCCACTGCAGCATCGGCTAAGGCACTCAGCTGTGTGACGTCGAGTTGGTGGGTTTGTCTCATGGAGTATGTGATGACGGGCAGCGGTGAAGCTGCTAAGATGGCAATCAACAAGGCCCCCTTCTTACTGTACAAGGATGTGTTGGTGGAGGCCCTGGCAATTTCAAGACCGCGGAAGGGCATCTGGGAGCTGTTGAAGGCCATCAATGTGAATAGGCGAACTCGCAAGCGCCTGATGAACTCTTCCTCGTGGGTGATTCGTTGGGATCCTCCGGCGGTAGATCGACCTCGGGATGCCTTGAAGCATTTGGGAATGGCCAAGGAGACCATGTACATCAACCTGAACACCTTGCTGATGGAGAATGAGTTTGAGGATGTGTGGAAGGTTGTGCTATGGGGTGCAATGGATGGAAAGATCAGCACCGTCGTGGCAAAGGACAGTTTGGGGTCTCCGATGGACCACGTGGTTGCAGCCCCTCATCGCAGCAAGGTGCATTATCTACATGCGCTGGCGACGGCAGGTCGGACTGCCCATGGTCAGGGTGCTGTGAGATTGTTGGTGGAGGACCTCCATCGAGTTCAGCGAGATCAGCGCGATGGTGTTGAAGAGAGTATGTGGCCGGCATGGTCAATGTGCAAAGATGCCAAGGAGTACATGGCTGAAATGGGGATTGTTGATATCTCCATAGCTGAGTTCACGGGCGAGAACTATGTGAGGGTGGCCCGTCTTGATGGAGATGCAGCGTGGCGCTTGCATGTCATGCGGGGGCATCAACCTTTTCGTCGAGATTGTTCGGTTTGTGTTCGCAACAGTGCCACAGGCAAGCAGCACCGAACAACTATGCACCCGATGGCCTACACGTTGAGTGTAGATGTGGTGGGACCGTTGAAGGAGCATGGGAAGTCACCAGATGGGAAGTTCTTCAAGTACTTTGTCATTGGCGCCCTGAGAATACCTAAGGTTGAGGGTGGTGATGGACATCCAGAAGTTCACGGGCATCCCATCCCTCCAGATGGTGTTGATGAAAGCGAGGAGGAGATCCTCTCAGAGGAGGAGCGCGACGAGGAGGAGGCCGTTTCCGAGGGTGACTACTGTGATCCTGCTGAGGTCGAAAAGGAGAACGAGCGGTGGAAGGAGTTGAGGGCTACGTTTAAGGAGCCCATTGCTACCACCACCTTGTACTTTGCGGTTCCTGTTAACAACAAGAAGGCTGCTACGATGCTACCGGCGGTGCAGAAGATTGTCTTGGATGTGAAGGCCCTTGGCTACCCGGTCACAAGGTTGCACAGTGATCGTGGTGGTGAGTTCAGAGGTCACTTGGTGCGACGCTGGGCCTTATCCCAAGGCATGTGGCCTACTACGACATCGGGGTCGGAGTCGGCATCCAATGGAGTCGCTGAAGCAGGAGTGCGATACCTAAAGCGCAGAGCTAGAGTGCTACTGGATAGCTCAGGGGTGGGTCGGCAGCACTGGCCTACGGCGGTTCAGCATGCAGCAGCTCAACAACGTTGCGACCAACTTGGAGTTCTACCTGCGCTCCCTGTTGCCTATGGTACCAAGGTGTATGTGAAGACCAAGAAGTACAAGACTGGTGCAGTTGAAGACTTTGGACCGCATTGGACCCGGGGACGGTATGTTGGACCGTCCACAGACATTCGAGGAGGTCATGTTATACTGAAGGACTCGGGCACCTTTGTACAGACCACCCACGTGAGAATTACCAGGGAGCCACCCCCCTTGGATACCATTGCACCGACTGTGGTTGTGGAGCCTGAAGCCATTGAGAGTCCGGTCCCTGGAAGGGAGGAACCTCCTCTACCACCACCAGATATCCCTCCACCTGAAAGGAGGCTCCGAGCGAAGACTCCGCGGGCCGCGAAGCTTGACGAGCTTTATGAGCCCTGTGTTGAGCTGTCTGAGGCTACCCAGGGCATAAAAGGTTCGTTCGAGGAGGAGCTCGAGTTGAAGTACCTCCGCCTGGAGGAGATTGAGTACCTGGAGGGTGTTGCGCGTGGCTTGTATGAGGGTAAGAAGTTCTCCAAAAATGATGGCCACAAATTGTTGAGTTTGTTTGCGGGGACCTGTGGCAATTTAAAGGTCCCACGTGCTCCAGAAGGGCAAGGCTTGGTGCTGGGTGCCTTTGTTCATGGAGGGTCATTTGGAGTGACTCGTTATGGTCGAGACCTACCATGGGTCATGAAGTACTTCAACACGTACCTCTATGAAAGGATGAAAGCTCGTTGGCCACATGTGCGTCCCACTTGGACTACTCTAGCCCTTCAATGTGCAGAGACTATTCCTCGTCACCGTGATGTTCACAATGAGAGAGCGACGTTTAACTACGTTGTGGAACTGAAGGCTGAGGATAAGGGAGGGCTGTGGGTTGAAGACAAGGGCCTCGAGCGCGGTGTCGTTGGAGGTGAACGTTTGGAAGACTTTCAGTATGAGGCGCAGGACGGTGCGGTGTATGACGGTTTTGTGGTTGATATCACAGAGCAGCCAGCGGCATTTAGTCCTATGACCCCGCACGCCTACGTCACGAATGGTCATCGACGGTGGTTCTTGAGTGCCTACACACCACAGGGGTTTTCTCGGTTGAGTCTTGGTGATCAACAATATTTGCAACGTGCTGGGTTTCCTCTTTGTCAAGAAGATGAAGATAACCATGGAGTGCGGGAAGAGGCTCCTGCACTAAAGGCTGCTGACTTACCTTGTGGGACTACGTTGAGCGGAGCTCATGGTGCCCCTCGAGATGTGGAAGTAGCTACTGTGGGTGATTGTGAAGGAAGCTTCAGCGACTGGGCCATCTACGTTGAGGACTATGTCGAGGAGGAGGCAGATCCGGGAGAATGTGAGCAAGTACGATGCTTGAGGAGGATTGGTTCTTCCGATGATCCTGGTGATGAGCTTTGGTCTTTGGTTGAGGCATCGGAGCTGTTGTCCGAGGAACAGGTTGGCCCAGAGGTTGTTGAGAACTTTGGTGAGAGGCTGGAGCATTGGAGCTCTATGGGAACTTTGGAGGTTCCAAGGATTGCAAAGCTCGAGCCTGAGTACACCCCAGGCATTGAGGAGATCATCAAAGGAGCAGTGGAGCAGCGGTGTCCGCTTCGCCATACCTACAATGTGAGCCCACATGAGGCTAAGGCGGAGATTGAAAAATGGCGGGCCGCGATAGCCAAGGAGGTGGGAGTCGTTGAGAAGGGATTCAAAAGGATCCGGGCCGACGAGGTCAATGAGATGAAGAAGGAGTTCACTGTACAGGAGTTGCCCTCAAAGTTAGTGTATACCGTGAAACCTCCGAACACCACACCTACTACAACTTCAGATTCGGAGGATGAGAGTTTGTACTGTCGTCGCAAGGCTAGGGTGGTGTGTTGTGGCAACTTTGCAGACGAGGAGGGTTCCGACCTCTTCGCCGGAGGCATCGCCGCCGAGAGCATGAGGTGCGTGCTCGTGTACACGGCAGACCAGGGCTGGATGGTTGGAATAGTTGATGTTACTGGAGCATTTATGCTCACTCCGCTCCCCCAATCACAAGGGCAAGTTCGTTACATTATACGCCCACCAGCTGCTTTGGTGGCTCTCGGTCTAGCTGACCGAAACGAAAGGTGGCTGCTAACGCATGGCATGTACGGCTTGCGTCAATCGCCCAGGCTTTGGGCAGACTACCGCGACACCGAGCTGAAGAATATCACTGTGGAGTATGACGACAAGGTCTGCGGGTTGAAGCAGGGTGTTGCAGAGCCGAATATGTGGTTGGTGTATGAAGTGGGAGCACCGCTAGATCGACCCCCTGAAGGCTTGATTCTGGTGTACGTTGATGATATAATGCTATGCGGACCTAGAGGTTTGGTGTGTGCGGTGGCGGCTAGAATTTCTCAGTTGTGGAAAACTTCGGAGCTGGAGTTGCTGACTGCAGAGCACGACCTACGGTTTTTGGGGTGTGAAATATCAACGTCCGAGGATGAGAATGTGTTCTACCTCCACCAGCGGCCTTACATTGATGAAATTCTTCGCCATCATGAGGTTGCGGCTACTATGCTGTCACAAGTGCAAGCTCCGCGGGATATGGTGACCTTTGAAGCCTTTGAAGGAGAATCCCCGGGCACTCCCGAGGAAATTAAGGCCGCACAACGGCTGTGCGGCGAGCTGTTGTGGCTTGCCCAGCGTTCAAGGCCGGACATATGCTACGTTGTCAGTGCTATGAGTTCGCTTTTGTCGAGGGCGGCTGTTCGGTGTGTTGCTATCGGTACAAGACTTTTGGCCTACTTGCAGCAGACTAAGAACTTGGCGCTGACGATGAGAGCTACCACCAGCGATCGAGCTTATCGCCTACTCGGACAGCTCTTTTGCCCCGCAAGGGAGCCGAAGCTTCACTGGAGTGGTACTTAGTTGGAAGGGTTCGCCGGTGTCATGGAGGGCGGCCAAACAGCCGTTCACTTGCTTGAGCACGGCGGAATGCGAGTTGGTGGCGTCGATTGAGGCTCTGACGATGGCAAAGTCATTGGAGGCGATTGTCAACCAGCTGGAGCCGCAGCCCCGGACGATCATTCTGGGAATTGATAATCAGGCGACCATTGCGATCGCACAGCCGTCTACTACAGCCTCGTGGAGGACAAGGCACCTACGTGTGAGGGCGGCCTACATACATGAGCAGGTTGAATCGAATCAGGTTCAAATCCGGTATGTTCCGGGGAAACAGCAGTGGGCGGACCTACTCACCAAGAGCTTCCCTCGGCAGCGCTTATTTGAGCTTACTGGCCTGTGGGGTTTTGTGGATCGTGTTCATGAAGCTTCTAAGAAGGCGGTGGTGAAAGCGATGTTGATGTGTATGGTGGTCCAGACTACCCGCGCTCAGGAGCACCCGGAGCCCCTTGCTATCAATACCTCCCTCGAGCTCTACGTGATGATCCTGGTGCTGGGTATAGCGGTGGTTGGACTTTGGGAGTTCATATGGCTATGCGTCGATCGGTGTTGTACGAGGCCTGAAGAAACCCGGACAGCGCGCAGAATGAGGCGGTTACAAGAGGCTGTTCAACGGGAGCTGGAGACCCAGATCAACGAGGCAGCCGCTTCACCTACCGGGACCAACCGTGGACCTCCAACTACTCCACCAAGACCAAGGAGGGCATCCACCTCTATGTCATCATTATCAGCCCCCTCTTCGGTGCTGAATTCTCCTATGCCAAGGAGACCGTGTGTAGCTAATGCTGCTACTCAGACCGAGATCAATGAGGACTATGTGCCGATTGTTGAGTACCTTGACCGCGATGTACCGGTACCTGTCCCAGTTCGCGAGTGGCACCCCGGACCACTTTATGTCACCCCTCATGGCGATACCTTTCATACCCATGAACGATGTTGGGGATTGAGGAATGCTAGATCGCGTCCTTTGCGATTCTGCCAACGTTGCCGTGATAATGGTGGTCATTCACTGCGCGAACGCCATGGGTGAGCTGAGCAGGCTGCAGTATGGAGAGTATGATCTCCCTTCTACAGGTCGCTCAAGGAGGAGTGATGAAAGCCCTGAGCCTGTCAGCTCTGTGTAATTACATGCATGCCACGAGACCTTGATGGTCCAAGCTTTGCGGAGTGCTAGAAGACTGTAGTCAGTGTGAAGCACGGCAGGTCCTAGCAAGCATAGCAGTCCCAAGAACGGCAGAAGCCAGCATAGATTGTGCGCTTCGTGGAAACAGATTTCTTCGTCAATTCGCTTGCGTTTGCCATGTCGCATTCACATGCTGTTTCTGGTGCATCAGAGAGTGCCTTGCTTCAGCATTAGGGGTTCAGGGTTTAGGGGTTTGGGGTTTAGGGTTTAGGGGTTTAGGGTTCAGGGGTGTAGGGGCTTTGGGGGTTTAGGGTTTAGGTCCCGAGTGAATCTTTGTGGCTGAGTAGGTAACCTTTTTGGAGGCTTAGCGTACTACAAGGGGTTCCTTTAAGAGATGTATAGGGCTCCTACAAAGGAATCTTAGTAGCTGAGCAGGAAACCTTTAGCCTTTTCGGGTTTATATCATCCCACCATAATTGCAAACGTGAACCTTTTTGGGCTACAGTTAACCCCATAAAGTTGGAAACCGGATTAAGGCCAAATAGTGCTGGGTTTCCCTATACATGACTCTGAAGGATTGAGGCTATGGGGTTTCCAACTTTTGGGCTTCTACTGTAGGATACTCAGCTCCTGAGGACTGTGAAGCCCCTCGCTCAATCTCCTGCAGCACATACACCGGGACGTGACAAAGAAAAGCACAAGGAGTCTTGGACATGTAGGCCTGCAGAAAAGGTAGAGATAGACCTACAGACCGTAAAACCGTCGAATCCCCAAGCCCTGGTAGTTAACGAAAGTCGAGGATCGCTATAGACCTTGTCAGGCTTTGTCCGAGTGTGAGTGTTAGCAAAAACCCTTGACCCTAGACTTCGACTTCCGAAACACCTTTGATCCTCCAAGCCGCAAGCTAAGAAGGCCTAAAGCAACCTTGAGCCCAAAACCGTGAGGTCGAAGTTCAGTCCCTTGGATAGGACGCAGGAGTTCAGCATGAAAGGACCATATTTTAGAACTCTACTATAGATCCCTTATAGACCCCTTCAGAGGAACCCTAAGAATAGTGTAGAGGGCGAGATCTTCCTCGACCGTCGAGAGCGACATCAACATCGGAGTTTCGCAAAATTGGGGGTACCTTACTTTGGGGTCCTTATTCCAAGGATCCTACTGTTTCGGGCACTATAGTAGGATCCCTTATTCGGAAACTCCCATGTGGGGTCCTGAATAGATCATGTTGTTCCTTATCCTTTTGTTGTTAAAATATGCTCACCCAGTGGGTGTTTCGGCAAACGAGAGTTTAGGGCTTGTAGAGTTCAGGGTGGTTCGATTCTCATCACGGGAATCTCAAGCTCTTCGCAATCTGTTCTGGCTCCTACGTGCACTCGCAACAGGAATTTACATCTTGTTGTCGGGCCTTTTCCCTTTTCATTTCCATGTACATTGGTCAGGTGTTGAGTGTTTCAGGGCTTAAATTGGATTGATTTAGGATGCAGTTCCTCGGGAGCATTGCGCTCCTCCTAGGTTATCAGAGACCCCGAAGCACCTGCACGCAGAGGCTTCTGAACAGTGAAGTAGCGTAGGCTGGTTGGGGGGGCTCTAGGCTCTTTATGGTTTGGGTTTAAGGTCAAGGTCATGGAGGGTTCTGGGCACTTAGGCGACGGGGCGTACCTCGAAAGCACTGGAGAAAATCAGTCCCAACTCCAATCGCTAATCCAGAGCCCCCAAAACCACGAAGCTCCAGCCTGAAAAGCAGCAAGAGCTGCAAACCGCTCCGGCTACGGATACGCTCGCGCCCGAAACCAAGAAGGCCCAGGGGAGACTGAGACTGTAGCCCCCTCCTGCTTACTTTATAGTCCTGAACACTTGAGACCTGTAACCTAAACCACCAAAAGCCTTAAACTCTAAGCTCCAAACTCTGCACCGCGTGCTGCGCGCCCGAGAGTGAATGGCGAAACTCCGAGCACCCCACGAACCAAAACCTCACCAGGCTTGTCCGAGTGCGAGCACTGAAACCCTAAACCCCAACCTTAAAGCCGAAACCCTAAACCCTTAGACCCTAAACCCTTGAACCCTATAAGCCCTAAACCACGAACCCCGAAGCAGGTACCGCCATGGTCGATGCTTCGGATCCCTGCGCCAGCAGAGGAGGTAGGCTCCTCACGGTGGCGAGTGTCGGCGCCTCATGTGCTGAGGGTTTAGGGTTTAGGGTTTAGGGGTTTAGGGTTTAGGCTTTGGGGGTTCAGGGTTTACGGTGTGTTCAGGGTCTAAATGAACCTTGTAAACCCCACTGTGGTTTGGGTTCTTTATTTCGATGTCCTTTTAAGAACCCTGAAAACTTAAACGGGTAGGTTATTCTGGGGTCAAAGAAGGGGCCAGGCTTAAAACTTGTGGTTCAGGGTGGAGGCTCAGATTGCTTGGGTTCAACAGCTAACCCGGAAAATGCCCGATCCTAGTGGTTTTTGCTTTTAAATTGACGGGGGGGTCCCCGTGGATGGTAGGTTGGATGTTGGCTGAAGACGCTGCCACAGAAGCAGGTTTCGGTAGCTTCAAGTCAGAAGGTTCAGGGCTTACTGGAACGTCGAAGGAAGCTAGGTTCAGGGTTTAGGGTTTAGGGTGAGCTTCCTGGATTTAAGCTGAACTGACGTGCAGGAGGTTTGAGCCGAGGAATTCGGATGTTTGTTTCGAGCTTGAGGGTGTTAGGGTTTAGGGTTTTAGGGCGGAGTCGCAGCAGGCCAGTTGCAAAAGGGTTTAGGGTTTAAGTTCTAATCAGATATTGACCTTGTCTCGGCAAGGGAGCTGAGGCTTTGATTGTTTGCGTGTCTCGGAAGTGCGACGTGCAACAGAGCGGCCTTGACAATTCGAATATGGTCTTGGGGTATGTGAAAGTATAGCCATAATAATAAGACAGCTTCAACTTACATATTATTGGGTTTATGTAGTGTCTCAGGAAATGGTTTTATGTTGATAAAGCTGCTTGAGCATACTTGTTGATTATGCTTCTAAAGGTGCTGAGTCTCTCAGCTCGTGAGTTCTGAGCGAGATCAGCCACAAGGCGATCATGACCCGAAACCGCTGTCGCAAGTCAAGCGAGGCCAGCGTGCCCGAACAAGCCTTTATCATCTTGCAGTCACGCAACAAGTAAAGCCGCTGCTCTGGTATAGGGCTTAGGGTTTGTATGATTACAGTAACAATTTCCCAGAGTGTTCGTGGGGTTCTTTATTCAGCCTTGTTTTTGGCGTGGCATAATATAGTGACACCACACCATGTTGTAAGTATGAAGTCTGCTACAGTACCCACCCCTTTGACAAGCAATGAGGGTTCAGAGAGTCGGAGGTAATTAAGGCCATAAACTCCCATCCACACACACACACACACAGTTCACCAAGCCCATGCACTAACCTTAATATGAAAACCGCTAGAGCCTAAGCTCAGAGCTTCACACCCTGCGCCCAAGCGTAGCTAGGGCTTAAACCCGCAGGCTCATGTACTCATGCACTATAAACTTTGGCCTGAGATGGGTTCCTGTACTTGGGATTCAGGTCCGAATTACAAGGCATAGCCCCTAAATGCTAAACCCCGCCAACCGGATACGTGAAGCATCTGGGTGGTTGTCAAAATTAGGGTCCTTTTTGGGTACCCTAAATATTAGGTGCCGTACTATAATAGGGATCCAAAAACTAGGATGCCCAGTAGTACCCTTATTCCCTTTTTGTAGTCCTAGGTTCCTTATAGAGTTACCCAATACCAAAAAGAGAGGCCTTTTTATTCTTAGGTTACTGGGTATCCTAGTATAATAGGGACCCAAAAAGGGACCATAATTTTGACAACCACCCATCTGGAAAACCGGCCCTTAGGTTGGATTCATTGCAGGTGGCGCCGGTTTCTCGGTAAACGGCGAGCTGCCGTGTAACCCAGGTGTGTACGATTCTATAGGGGGATAATCAGGCAGCTGTTGCAGGTTCTCTAGAGCTTCTAGAGCTTATGTGGGGTGCTGGGAGTTTACCTGATTTGTGCAGGCTTTGGTAGGCATTCATGGGTTTGGGGGTTGCAGCTGTTTTTGTATATACACCATATGGTTCATGTCATGTACTTTGCTTAGCCATAGACTTTCAATTTCAGGCGCATACCTGAATTGAGGTATATATAGTTGAAGCTTTGGACAACCTACGAAGAGCCACGACGTGGACAAGTGCAAGAATCGGTTTCCGGCATCCCAAACCAACCATCGTCCCTGAATCCCACAGTGTGGAGCCTGTGTGTGTTTATGTAATTGTCCCAAGCCTCACCCTGAGCCGACAGCCTGTATACCCAACCCAATTACTGGTGTCCTGTGCATTTTGATCTGTTGTACATTCCATCCCCACGTCCTGCTAACGCGGTAGTCGGGCTGTCATTGAGTCCTGGGGCTTGCCAGCACTACAGGAGTCGAAGTGGATTTTTGCTTGGGGCTGCGGTGGTGCTTTAGCGTTTCGTGTCAGCCAGAACCCTGTAGATTTCAACTCAGTCTTCGTGTTGTGTTCCCTGTTTCGGATATCTATAATAATGCTCGTTTGGGGCCCTTGTGATACTTATGCCATAATATGCACCGCAAACCCGCTTCTGACTGCTAGCCCCGGAATCCTAAACCCTTACACCTGAGATTGTGAATCCTTGCCTGCCGCGTGCGAGTGCAACTGTCGAAACCCTTAAACCCTAAACCGCCCAGACCTTCCAAAATCCCTTAATTAAGGAATATACCTTAAATTATAATAGGATCCCTAATATGATTTAAGGTATATTCCTTAATTAAGGGATTTTGGAAGGTCTGGGCGTTAAGCCCTCAACCTGAACCCCTTAACTCTTGCGGCTCCAAGCCCCCTTATGCCCTAAACCCCGAACCCTTGAGCCTGAAACCCTATTCTCATGATCAAAGCCCC